ACAGTACTGCTGAATATAATCAAAGAAATTCTTGGACGATAATGAAACCAAATATATTGCATGTAACCCTAAAATGCCGAATTCAAAAATAAATCAATTATTCTAAAAAATAAAATTCAGCATCTATCCAATTATTACGATGCTAGCAAGCCGAAATTAGCAAGCAATTAAAATTCAAGAACTAATAATCAATAACGAAAATTGGGGCGTTACATGATGGATGAATAGTCATCATTCAGTCTAGTGAGAAACCAAATTACCTTGTCTTGTTCTTTGTAGAGCCTAGCATTCTAGATAGCCAAACAGGAACACTTCACATTGCATGTGCAAAGAGGCATAGGTCTATAGTTTTCCAGCCAAAGATTCTTCAATTCTTTAAAAAAATCAGTAACATTCAAATTTCTTGTTGCAATTTTCAAATTTTAATAATGTCTCCCTGTGCAAATCATTCTTTGATATCTTTCCATACCTCAGATGCCAGATCAATGTACACTTTGCTTTATGCAATTGATGTTGAAACTGAGTGAATTAACCATAAATAAACAAGATTATTACATCTCTCCCACGGCTCAAACATAGGCTTAAAACTTATAGGCATCGTAATTGAACTATTGACAAACTTGAGCTTATTTTTCAAAATCAGTGTTCTCTTCAACAATCGTGAACATGTGTGATAATTATTTCTATTGCCAATCGATGAAACCAGAGAAATCGAAGGATTTTCACTTGGATGGATGTAATAGGGATTTGTAGGATCTTGTGTAGGATTGAGATCATTGTCGTTGACATTTGTGTTCTAGTGCTATTGCCCAAGTCCTCACGTCATTGGAGAAGAAAGAATCGAGCTCTGAAGTTCCAGAGCTTTGATACCATAAAAAATTTAGAGAGAAAACTGAATATACTTGTTGATTGAAGTTTATTGAAAATCAAATCATAGAAACTAATACAACAAGAATTTATATTGCTAGCTTGATGTAATGTTACTACTAAATACACACAACACAGGAAAATAAAACTCTCAACAAAATAACTAGAAAAGTTAATTTCCTAACTAACTATTCTCCATATGGTACTGAGCTGTCTTGCCACTGAACTGTCTTGGTAGCTGGTTCTGTTAGGAAAGACGTTAGAATTATCCTAGCAACTCCATGAATGAGAATTTTGAAGGGGGTGGGATTTAGGTGTATAAGAAAGCATGCATCTAGTAGCACAACACTATCTTGTATGGAGATCACGAGCGAAATATATTCAGTTTATTTTAGTAAAGTGAATGACTACTTTAGTTTGAAGTGAAATCTCGTGCAATTAACATCTAATAAAGTTTTGAGAAAAATGCACCTTCTTCATTATATTATTACTTCCTTTATCTAATCTTTTGTTAGTGCAAGTAATGTCGAATTTGTAAGCAATAAGAACAAAACTTAGCTATTGCTTTACAAAGTCAGACAATTAGCAAATAATTGACTAAGATCGGTCTTGTCCTTCATAATAGCATCAAAATTGGACGCAAGATTAACAAAAATTAAAAGCATGTTAATAATGTGTTCCTAACCTTTCTTTTATAGATAGACATTAAGAACAGCAAAAAATCAGGTGAATTCTAATATCCTTCCTTCTTTTGTAATAAGTGTGTTGATTCAAGCATTGCTTTGGCATAAGTGATTCATATTTGAGTCTGAGTCGTTGATAAAAATAGTTTAAAAATGGATGGCTAAGATTAAAGGTTAAAAAGGTTAACAAATGCAGAGAGAAGTTATCAATGAGGCAGATAAAGAGAGGTAATAATGTAAAACTAATATTTTGGATTCTGCATAACGTAAAACATGCATAAAATTTTTAAATTTTTTGTATAAACTAATCTGCAGAAACCAACACATGAGTGTATAAAGCTCAAGACACAGAATTCTAATATCAATGCATTGTATAATTTTGAAATTGTATGTAATTAAGTCTAATTTATTATCCTTAAAATTTAAATACCCAAACATGTGTTTATGAAAATAAAATTGCGTAGAGATCAAAATGTGGTCTTTACTAGTTGGAACTTAGTATGTGGTTTTTCCTCGTTCTCCTCCGTGGCTATTTCCATAATTTCCTCTGAATCTCATGCACCGTCCTGTCAATCAAAACTAGGTTTCAATTTGTATAACAAAAAACAGGCTGAGATATGACCGAAAAAATCTTACCGGAAAGGGAAAGACCTCTGACAAAGACAAAAAGAAGATAAAATGTTGTTGGAAAAAAGTAAAAATAGAGAAGACAAATAAAAAATATTTTTTTAAAAATGCAACTTTCTACATTGGTTTTCTCATAAAACAGATGCAAAAAGTACTTTTAAAAAAAATATATAACTTTCTACATTAATTTTCTGGAGAGAATTGATTTAGAAATATATTTTTTTCACGTAGTTACTTTTACATCAGTTCTCTCAGAAAAATGATGCAGAAAGTATTTTTAAAAAATAATTTTCTACATTAGTTCTATGAGAAGAACTGATGTAGAAAGTTGTTTTTTACGTAGTAGTTACTTCTATATTGATTATGTTATCCAACTGTTGTAAAAGATTCCAACCTCATTCTCACATGAACCTGGATAAGTTGTACAATTTAATTCTATAACCGACGTGAAAACATTTATGTACAATTTTAAAAGAATGCAATACACGACATCAGTCTGTCCTATAGGAGCTGTTAAATGATGAAAGCGTGGATTTGCAATCATTACCATTTTTTACATCTTAGTTCATATCACATTTTATTGCATTTGTACACCATAAATGGCTCCATCTTTGCAAAAGAAAGGTAGAAGTGCAGAAACTATTTTACCATTGATGAACATTGTCTTTTTTATTTTTGTTTTTAATATTTTTTTCTATAAACTATTGTGCCTACATTGTCCAAATTTGCTATTCTGCTCACTTGGCCAATCCATGGAGCTTTTGAAAATGCAGTGCACCCAGGTAAATCAAAAAAGAGATAAATACAGAGGTTAAATAAGCATCTCACACCCAAAAGGTGCCCCACATAGGTCTTCCCCGAAACCTCCTAATAACTAGGGTAAACAACATAAAAAAAAAAAAAAAGCACTCATTTATATACCGGTTCCTGAAGAGTGAAGAAAAAGAGGATGTTTTGTTAATGAGAATAAGAAAGTGTTTATAGTTGTAGCCATATAAACAAGAATACTCACCTGAAGTGCAAGAACATATACATAGAGAATGTGAGAATTTTTACTTTATTACAGATAAGGAAAGTTTCACAATAACCATAATATTAAATTTACTAATATATCCTTTCAAACATATTATTTATATCACTAGTTACCTCTCTTTCATTTGTTACCGTTAGATTTCATCAACAATTTATAATGTTTCAACACTTTTTAAAAAAATATATGTCTTAGTTATTATAAAAGAAGGAAGAATATTAGAATTTAAAAAAAAAAAAAAAAGAAGGATTGACTACATTCCGTCAGGACATAATCTTGCTGCTGTATAAAAGGATCCTGAACATTTGCAATCTGACATTTTTTTTCACAAACAAGTATGATAGTTGAATGGAAGAATCAGAATGTAATTAATGAGTTTTGAAATTTGAACCACTCTTCATCATACCATTTGAAATTATTTTACTCTTTATTTAGTCACATCAAAAGCAAAAAAATTTGTGTCCCCTATGATGTCTTGCAGGAGAGTGGGCAAAGAAAAATTTCCAAAATCATATACAGGACCAACATGACTTAACTGAAAAAAACAATCACCAACACAATCCTACTTTCAGCTTACTTTTCCATAAGAAAGGCGTGTATTCTCAAAGACCAATTCTAAGGTTTCCTTTTATCACAAAAAGGAAGTAACCAAAAAATCAAATGGAAAAACAAAACCCTACCGACAAGCAACTTATATAGAATGGTCCCTACCCACTAAGTTGGAAAATGCTTTCTATGAGTGGTTTCTGAGTAGTTTATAAGCCGAAAATGTAATGAACATACCCCAGTTAAGGAACAAATAAAACAGGGGAATTCAATTTGGAAAACAAGCAATTGCGTAAGCTAAATTATAGTAACATACTAAGCATACATTTTTACAAATACCAAAAATTTTAAATGCTTGCATTCAAGCTTATGCTAAACTGTATTCTACTTAGGAATATATGTTGCATTAGGGGATTGAATTCAACAACCACATACAACAAACAACAAACAGAGCTTAATTTAACGACGGAACTCTTGTAGAATCCAAACTTGTTCTACACTCATTTCTTTGATCGCCAAGCAACTTAGATATCAGTCAAATCAACAACTAAATCGCCAAACTACATGGAAAAGAAGGCTATCGGTTGTCACCTGGAACGACGGAATCGGAGTGAGGCGAATCTCGGAGAGCTAAGAGACCATGGAAATTGGAGAATTTCATCCACAAATACACCATTCATCAATCAAATTTTGCGCAATTCTCTTATATAATTTTTTTTCTGAGATCATTTACTATTTATAGGTTTTTAAAAATACGAATAAATTGATTCAATTCAAATCTCAAAAAATCATATCAAGTTTAATTATATTTAGTATTATTATCTAAATTAGTTACACTTTAATTTTATACCTTATTTATTCTAAAATTTCTTTGAGTAAACAATGCTGGGATACAAGGAGAACTCTAAACTTATGTTACTAAATAATCTTTTTTACATTAATGTGGCTCGTTCATAACAGCAAAACACGAATTTAATAGCAAAAAGTGTATTGCAGTGGGTGTCTACAATTTCCAATAAAAGAAAACATGATATGTCCCTATGAATAAAATTACTTTTTCTCTCCTTATTTTCTTTCGTATTTTTCCATTCTTAGTAGTCTCTACATTTTTGCAATTGGTTTTTCACTTAATTTTTTTTCTTTCTTCTCTTATCTCTTTGTTTTCTTTCTCAAAGGAAATAAAAATATTGTGATTATAAAGTTTATGAGGAGAGGGCATAAGGAGTAAGGACACAGATGTGATGTGCTTCCCTTCGAAAATATCAATATAGCAACCAACGAAACTAGGGTCGGATGTTAGTTGTTAGTGTCTTTATCTTTTGTCAAGATAACCTCAAATTGGCCCTCTTCTAATCTTCCTTTCGAAATTTGCACGGATTCACTGATCAAAATTTGTCAGAAAACTGTTCCCACATCGTGTGGAGATCCTCAAAAGAATCTAGTTGAAATGAAGTGATTGGTCCTACGTGGGTAATTACAGTTTACTTATAAGCAATAGACAAAGCTCCTAATTCATCGTTTCAAATTCAATAAAAATGACCTAGCCTTTCGCTTTCAATCTTTTCCCACCTTCTACAGAACTACCACCGAGAAAAAGAGAAACAGAGAGAACAAAAGCAAGTACGGTGAGTGATCCAGGATCTTCAAGGCCCACTTCATGTCCCAAAAATTAATCGAGTGTAGACAACTCGTAAAAATGAGAGAGTTATTCTAAGCTCTTTCAAGCAAAGCAAGACTAAGAGTTGTTGGTGAGGATCTAAAGATAAGCCATATGGAAAGGAACATTCAATTATACATCTTCTTCCAATTTGCTCATCCCCTCCTCCAACAGCATCCCCTGGTAACGGCATTCACGGCTGCAAAATGCCCTCTCGCCCCTGAATTACAATCACACAACTACCCTCATAAGCTGTTTGGATTATTAATTAGCCAACATATTTTCACTTCATTTCATTCATAAACAGTGTTTTTATCCTAAGCCACAATTATCAACTGAAAATACTAAATTCAAAATTTTCCAATATTTTGAAATGCCACTTTGACATGGAGCAAAGATGGAAGGAATGATATTGAATTATACATCCATTATGATTATGCTACATTAAATTCACTCTGCTGTCAAAAGCCAAAGCAGAAGGCAATCTGAAACTTAATTGATTTTTTTTTTTTTGAAATAGACAACTGATCAACAATACAGAACAATTAAGACATCATATTAAATTTGATGCAGAGATGAAAACTTGAACTCCACAAACAGGTCAAAGTTACTACTCCTTATCATCCAAGCCCAACGTGCTATTCAGGTGTTCACTTAGAAATCAAATTTTAGAACTTTATATGCATTCGTGCCTAGAATATTACCGTTCTTGTTTATGAGGATACAGAAAATATAATTACCTGTACATGTAGATATCCACACCCTGCCCAAGATTTTTGTTGCAGTAAAAGCAGACGCTCATGAAGCTGTGAGAGGGATAAATGATGTGATGAGGAAGAAACACATTTTCCATGGCAGAAGAAGAGCATCCAGCATCAAAACATCCACTCTCAACGATGCAGTTATCGAATATGTGAGTAGTTCTTGGGTTAGGCCCGTGGGAAATCACGCGAGTGTAGTGCTCAGAGAGCTCCATTTCACTGGCAGAGAGGCACCCAGTGAAAACTCGAGGAGATTTGGAGGTTTGAAGAGCTGAATTGGCAGATCCAAATTTAGATGATGCTGATTTAGGCGATTGAGACGGAGAAGGTGTTGCATGAGGCAGGGGAGGAATCTGAATCTTAAGCTGGGATCCAAACAGCACCATTCTGCTTTGTGAATTTGATGCTATTTGTCCAGGTTTGTCATCAACAAGAGCATCCACAAGGCCTCTTGAATCCAATTTATTCCAATAACGCTTGTGATCACCAATTGGGGTTCTTGGGCTGTTTGTTTCTAACCAAAATGGGTTTTTCATGCCACAAAATGGCTTACTGTCGAGTATGGAGGTGGGACTCATCATAGCCTCAGCTTCATACAACACTTTGGATGCGAAATTGGCGAACAACCTCGGAGAACTGAAGAAAAATGATATGGGCTTCTTGTATTTTTCTGCCATAGATGGCGAGGAACTAGAAACCGCCATCAGAATCGGAGGATGCTCTTGCTGGATCACTTTATCGCCACACTTCATTTTTATTCTGCATGAAATCCCATACCAAAATATGAAAACATTCTTAATAGTCTGTTTATTTTTGTGTGTGTGAGAGTGAGAGGAAGAGAGAGAGAGAGATTATAGGAACAATCACCTGAAAGGACACTGCCATGACTTTGAGAAGAGAGTAACAAATCAAAACCAACTCCAACCTTCTCAACAGTGTTGGAGGCTGCACTTTTGAAGGCTTGTATCGTACTACAGTCTACAACGTATGTGCAAAACTGCAGTCAAAATTCACCTTTATGTGCAGAGTCAGAAACCAGAAATTGGAATCTGTTTCTATCACTAGGCGTTAAACGTTAATATTGTACCTCTATAACCTCCATTTGGAAAGCACAAAGAAAAATAGAGAAAGAAATTGAAAAGCTAAATGGGAATGGTGACATTTTTCCCCGGCTTTGTGGTTCTTTCCTCTTCATCTTCCCCCGTCTGAGAGAAAAGAATCTCAAAAACGACATGCAAAGAGAGGCTCAGTGGTCATGATCAAAGGACCAGACGTGCATGCATCAGACATCAGAAACAAAGGAGGTTTGTTTGTATTTTTGTTCCCTTCTTTTCGCTACCTTTCAATTTTTCGTATTTCTGTCTCCCAGCGCTATTATTTTTTCCAACGTGTCACAATTGCATCGCACCAAACCAAAAACTGGTCCCTAAAATAATCCCATTTCACCACCAAAACAGAAAAGGCCAAATAACAATAAATAGTAATAAGAAAGAGGAAAAGAAGTAACGGTGATAAATGATGAAAGTGTCTTCTTTTCGTGACTAAGTGGGGTTATCTTTTCCCTTTGCCCACTACTTGACTCTACCATCATCAAACCCGCAGCGCAATGGGGAGAAAGTAGAAACAGGAAGCGGTTTTGTGGGTTATTATGGAGACGCGTGTGCATCAGAATCAGTGGTTTTCATACACTCTCCTCTCAGCAATGACAGTTTGCAATGTTACTAACTACATTAACTATGTTTGGCTTTGTTTGAGTGTGAGTGTCCCATAAAATTAACATCATCTGTACAAGGTGGCGTCATATGACTGGAATTTTCTGTCGGCTATATCTGTCTCTGCCTCTTAGCGTCACTGAATCACACACAGACACAGTCACACCCTCAATCCCCATGCACTAGTTTGTCCCATAAAATTAATCTAAATTCATGTTTGTTTTATAATTTGAAAAATATTTAACAAAAAAACATATACCGATAAATATGTGATTCAAAATAATTGAAGGGTGTATTTAAATTTTATGCAACACTTTAAAATCAATTGTATCAATATTTAGATTAAACAGAGACTGAACATGTGTGTGACTCTAAGTGGCGATTGAAATAATCAAGGGGGGGGGGGGGGGCATTTTGGAATGATGGCTGGCCTTGGAGCACAGGTTGATAGTGGTCCATAGATCAGAATCCTTGGTATGAAATTGATCGTCTTTACATTCATTTAACGTGGAGAAATATGAAGAGAAAAGGAAAGAAGTAAAAACAAAGGGCCTGCGAAGTTGGCTTGCATAACTTGAAAAGCTCCAAAGTGTGGTTGAGGAGCTAGTTATCACTCGCATATGCACGAATCATTAAACATAAACACTAGTAGTAATTCCAAGACAGACCAATCTCACTCATCTTATATACTTTATTAAAGCTCCAAACCGTCATTGACGAGATTGTCTCGCAGATACCTCAATATATATATATATATATATATATATGAGAGAGAAATAAAAAATGATAATATTAGAAAATATAATTTAATTAGAATGTATTGACAGTTTTAAATTTTTTACACTGTCATATAATAGTAAATTATTTCATAACTTGTAAAATATTTTGATTTGAAAAAGCTCATGATTCAAATAATGTTTCAGAATAAAAGAGAGACAGAAAATTATAGAATAGGACAAACTTTCATGTTAAATAAAAATGTCACCGTTTCACATAACCCCTTTCCTAGTGAAATCGTTAAAAACATATAAAACTAGTACATATCTGTGGAACATAGAGATGATATATAAGGAGGAATACATCAGTTGAGTTTATCTGTGGCCAAGAAGCTAAAGATAAGGAAATCCTTGATCTCCCCTTTACAAAATGCATACTTCCTAAGCAACCCTTCCATGACGAAACCAAGTTTAAGAAGCACCCTTTGAGACCCCTTATTCTCGACCTCCACCAAAGCCTCAAGTCTCAGCAGCTGAGGAAATTGCTTGAAGACAGTGGGTATTGCCATCTTCAAAGCCTCCGTAACTATTCCTTGTCCCCAATATTCGGCAGCCACAGCGTAGCTAACGTGTGCCTTGCACCGGTAATCACCGGTTTCCGGCTTGACGGAAACATATCCTATGGAACGGTCATGAAGGCATATAGATTGACGCCATGGGTGGGGCATAGCAACCTTCTCTATATACACCAAAGCTTCTTCTTTGGATGTGATGGAGTTCCATCTCAGGTAGCGTGTCACTCTATCGTCACTAGCCCATTTCAGCATGTCATCCGCATCAGATGGCTTGAAAGGTCGTAGACAAATTATTGAGCGATCCATAGCAATTACAATGAACAATAAGATTGTGTTTGTGAGATTTCAATATCATAAGTTTTTTTTTCCTCCAATTCATTGTATGATGTCCCATTCGATTCGGGTCAACAAAGGCGGGCTCATGTAAAGGTGAATATTGGTTTAGCAATAACACGACATTTCCTTCAAATTATATTTTCATAACTATTGATAAAATTATTTAATAATCATCCGATTATATCTGCATGCTATGCAGTTTATAGCATAGTCCAATTCTGAGCGAAGAAATTGTTTTTGGAATAATGACTGCGGCCTACCACCATAAGCATAGTTGTTGTCCACAAATCAATGTGCTTGGGCTGGAATTGATTGGCAATACATTTATCATGCTGTTATTTTATTTATAAAAGTTTTGTTAAAGACATTTTTTAAGATTTTAAAAATTAATGATTTTTATTAAAAATACACTAAATGCTTTCGTTTATAATAAAATTTACTATTTTTAAATAACTCTTCACAAGTTATTAGTTCTCTCCCTTGTATTCCTCTCTCTCTCTCTCTCTCTCTCACAAATATAACACTGCCCAGAAACATTTTCCAATAATTAAAGTTACTTTTTCAACTAAGCAACCGTTTTATACTCCATAACACTATTAGATTTAATTATATTTTTAAAAATTTCTATCTTAAGTGAAGAATACTCCTTCCAAGGAGTGTAGAATATATGATTATTCATTTGATGTGCCAAATATGCACATCTTGTACAAGGAATCGTTTAGAGAACAAGGGAACCAAGATTTGGACGAAAATTACAACACCAATAAAAGAATACAATAACAGCAGAAATTGAAAGAGAAATTAACGCAGAAATAATGAACAAGACCATAAACAAATATCCGTCATCACCACCAGGTAAAGAAACAAGATGGGTGCATGCTAGTAAACAACCAATTCCGGAAACCAAAATAGAAAACAATGGAGCACCGCTGAGGCCATGAAGAAGACTCAGAAACCAGATCCTCCATTGCCATCCTCTGCCTAATGCCTCTGTAACGCTCATTTGCACAGAATGTACTGAAGAAGGGGGAGAGAGAGTGGGTGTTGGCGGTGGCAGATTAAGGGAAGAAATATATGGGAGTGTTAGAGGCAGTTACGAGGAGGTAAAAGGAAAGGATTTAAAGCAACAATGAGTGCCAAAATTGCGGAAGGAAGGGAAAGAAGAGAGAAGAATGTGGAAGACTAGATTAAAACCTACCGTTAAACAAAAATCTCACTACTGTTGGGTTCAAATTTTAAGTCAAAAATAAAATATATGGTAATTTGTCAGAATTATTTAATTAAGTTGTATAAAGTAAAAGAAAATATAGTATATTATAAAGACTCATAAAAATAGTAAATGGGTATACAACTTATGAGATATTTCACGTTAAAGTTGCTGTAAGCATTTCAAACAAATGGACAGGTAGCTAGGCACGTAGGTTGTTGTTTTATCTATAAATTAAGGTACGATCATAAAATATACCGAGTCATATTCATTTCAAACAAGAACATATGCTCGCATCATCAAAAAGTATACGCATGTAAAAAACAAAAACAAGGATGAAATTGAGCATTAAATAGCAAGTATATGCATGATCAGTAACAAAAAGTACCTTTAGGAACTCCGTTTAGACAGGTAATCTGGTCACCCACTGGCAGAAGCTACACAACACAGTTGCATAATGTGAAAAACATAATATTAGTTATAAAAGAAGATTATACATATATGTAATAAGGAAAATAATAGAATCATTTGAGGGCTACTTGATGAATGCTCCTTGCTTGGTGAGAGGAAGAGAAGTAAATGATCGGAGATTGACATCAAGAAGAGAGAGCACGCACGGCAAAGGAATGTCCATGTACCATTGCAGCATGTGCTCCCTTTCTTCTGTCAACCTCCCTAAAGCACATCCTAATACGTTATGTTCTCTTCTTCATTTTTCTTCTCCTTTCCTTTCTTCCAATCTCTTTATTCTTCCACCCATTTAAAACTGAAAAAAAGTTGGTGTTCAACTTAACATTATTTTTCTAAAATATTATATTTCATCATCTCGTCTTGGTCGAGCGAGATAACGTATGCGACGTGTGTTGGTGTAAATAGGGTGCATTTGAAGAGATTGAAGAGGGAAAAAGGGACAAGCTAGCAATAGGGAAGGGTGAAGAGGTAGTGATTTGGTGTCGAAGGAGCATTGGTCCATATGAAGCATTGAATAGTGCTAGAATGTAGAAACTACTAGTTCCTACTGTTCCTTGCTCAGGTATGGTTTCAGTTTGACTGGCCAGACAGCATAGTAGATGCCCTTTATCTCATCTAATTTTACCCAACCCGTACTCCTCTTTGCAGGGATGATAAATGCCTTGTTTCACTATACGCATGTTATTATATTTGTTTCTCAAAATCATACAACTTATATACTATTATTTTTATTTTTTTTCATATTATCACTTGTTTTTTATTTGTATAAATAGAATTTTTCATTGTGATAAGAGAATTTGTTAGACCTAAATAAGTTCTTTTCTTGTGCCTTATTCCCGTTAAACACACACATATATACATGTAACAAGATTTTTCAGTATAAGTCTAAAAATTCTTATATTCGATTTAAATTTTTTATTTAATTTACATCTAACGAGTTATAATTTATTACTTCATTAACTATTAAATATAAATTAAATAAAAAACTCAAATTGATTATAAGAATTTTTAAACTTACAGTAGTGTGAGAAAATCCTATATATATAAATACAAGAGTATACAATTATTAGTTAAAGTTGTAAAAATTAAATAGTGATCTAAGTTTAATCTTAATTTTTTAAGCTATCAGAAAGTAGATCAATGGTTACAATATCAGGAAAAGAATTCAGCAAAGGAATATCTTTGAATTCCAGGACATCAATATCCTACTACAAGCTCCATTATAACTGAAAGAAGTAATCAAGAGTTTCTAGTCTAAAAAATAAGATTGATGGCCAATTTACATGCTGCTAAATAAAAAAAAAAACTTAATGAGATAATTCAACAATTATTTTCAAAAGTTTCTGAAACTATCTTAGAAAAAGAAGAATATAATGAAGATAATGGTTATAGAATCTACTTTCTATTTCACCAAAGATAAAAATATCATTAAAAAGTATTGGCAGAAGAAGACAAAATTATAAAAAACTGGCAAAATTTGAAAAAAAAAAGACAAAAAGTAATTTCAATACAATTATGAGATAATAAAGTCGACAATGCTTGATTAAAGGACAATAATGTGAAGTAAAACATAACAAGAAGATAAGAAAGAATCCATAAATAAATTCTCTAATCTCTCAAGTATAATAGTGAATTTTTCACCCAATTATAATTTAAGAAAAGATAAAATCTACAACCTATAATAGATAAAGATTGATATCTATCTTACATTTGGAATAATCATAAATTATTTTATATCAATAAATAATAAAGTTAGTAATTTAGTTAAAAAAATGTTAGTATTATATGATCTTTAAAATATTAAAGGAATAAGCTTTTTTTTTTTTAAAATATAGTCATGTTTCTATCACAACTTATTTCTCTAAATATTTAACTTTACTTATATCTAATATCTTTAAAAGCACTCAAATTGTTAATCACCTTTGATTTTATATAGTATTCTTTTTCTTAAATTACAATTATTTGTACCTTTTAAATAATTCTTTTCACTTTATCATTTACTTTAATGTATTCCTTGAAATCTCACTTGCTTATACTTTTTTTTTCTTTTTGCAAGAAGATTTTTCCCTCTTCCAAAGGCATTAAATTATGGCATATTATTTAGAGTGTGTTTTGATCATTCAGTTTTACTTTTCTTAAAGATTAGTGTAATTCATAACTTTTATTATTTTAAATTTCCAATTCATTTTTTAACTTTTTTTAAAAAAATTTCGCCCGTATTAACCATGAAAATATATTTTTATCATGAAGGAAAAGTTTTTGGTCCAAAAAAAAACTCTGTAGTCACATGACCAATTCGAATTCGAAAGAATTTTTTACTTTTTGTTTTGGGTCAAGAAGGGTTAGTATTGTAAAGAGATCTATGAGCCCAAAAGAAAGCCCAAGAAGGGTTTTAGGGAATATAAGAAGCGCCACTCGCACTAACAGAGACTGGGAATTAGGGTTTCATCTTTCTCTCGTTGCCGCTGGTGTTGAGCTTGCAGGAGAAGGAGAAGAAGAAGAAGAGCGATGGCCGTCGGCAAGAACAAGAGGATCTCCAAGGGAAAGAAGGGTGGCAAGAAGAAGGCGTTAGTTCTCATTCCCTTAACTTCCTAAGTTCAATCGTTTTCGTATTCTATTTTTGAATTAAGTTTTGTTTCTTCTCTCATTACGCAGCGCTGATCCCTTTGCGAAGAAGGACTGGTACGATATCAAGGCTCCTTCTGTGTTCCAGGTCAAGAATGTTGGCAAGACACTCGTCACTCGTACCCAGGGTACCAAGGTATTTTTCTCTCTATCCACAACTGTGTACAAATCATAAGGTTTTGGATCTACATATACTCGCATCAACGTATAGTGGAATATCGTGTATGGATTAGATTTTTTTTTTGTTTGGCTACACTTCATCAGTGGTATATGTTTTGTTATTTGCATTGAGCAGAATTCTGCTTAATGTATTCTATTGTTCTGCATCTTGACAGCATTTTAATATTTTGATGTCTCGTTGATTTTTTTCTTATAGTATTATAGGTTTATAATAATCCGGTACTCACATTATTGAGTTTGTTTTAAGTGTGAAATATGGATGTGGGTTTTAATAGTTTATTATTACTACTACAAATTGATTTGGCTTACGTGCAATTTAAATTGCTGAGACTTGTGCCTGCTTACATAGATGTTGACACAATGGGTATTTAAAATTACAGATTGCTTCTGAAGGACTCAAACATAGAGTGTTTGAGGTTTCCTTGGCTGATCTTCAAGGTGATGAGGACCATGCTTTCAAGAAGATTCGCTTGAGAGCTGAAGATGTTCAAGGGAAGAATGTTCTGACTAACTTCTGGGTATGTTGGTGGCTGAGCTTCTTTTGATGAATGCTATTGACTTGTGATTGTAATCTAATTAAGCTTATCTCTGTAGGGGATGGATTTCACCACTGACAAGTTGAGGTCATTGGTGCGAAAGTGGCAAACTTTGATTGAAGCTCATGTGGATGTGAAGACCACAGATAATTATACTTTGAGGATGTTCTGCATTGGGTTTACTAAGAGACGTAGTAACCAGGTGAAGAGGACATGCTATGCTCAATCAAGCCAAATTAGACAGGTATATTCTCTGCAACTTTCTTAGCTGTGACTGTGGTAATTGGTTTTGTTTTCAATCTTCATTTTTAAACATAGTATATGTTCTAGCTTATATTAACTTGGGAACATGTTTTTGATTTAATATCTCTCTATTGAAGTACCTGAGCTAATAACATTAATTTAAAAGGGATGTGATGTTTCTTTAATTTTCTGTCATATGTTTACTGGCATTGCAATCCTTTGAATTGAACCCTATTTTTCAGGATTTGCTTCCTGAACATGACAACTGAAAAATGGTTTTTGTCTCTTGTTACATCATATTTTGTTTTAGATTTTATATTTATTTTGGGGAGATGGGCAATTGCATGTCTAACTGTTTAAAACACACCTTTATCTGTTCAGATCCGAAGGAAGATGAGAGAGATCATGATCAACCAGGCAACCTCCTGTGATCTGAAAGAATTGGTCCGTAAGTTCATTCCTGAGATGATCGGAAAAGAGATTGAGAAGGCAACATCTAGCATCTATCCTTTACAGAATGTATTTATCCGTAAAGTTAAGATCCTGAAAGCCCCAAAGTTTGATCTTGGGAAACTGATGGAGGTATGTCTTTTTGCTTGGAAATTTTACTTGCACTTCTGATTCTTGTATCTAATGAAAAATGTTTTAATATGTTCATGATTCTGCATAGAAATTCTATTCAATCTTTAATGTTTTAATGTCTTTTTGTTCTCGGTTGATTTATAGACCATTTTAAACGGAGTCCTTTGGAACGGAAGCAATTTTTCAAGAAATTTCTTATGAATTGGTTTTGGTTGCAAGCATGTGGTTTAAAACCTGATCAGTAGTGGTATTAATGCTTATGTTTTCAAACCATGTAGGTTCATGGTGATTACTCAGAAGATGTTGGTACAAAGGTGGACAGACCTGCTGATGAAACCATGGTTGAGGGAGCCACTGAAGTAGTTGGAGCTTGATCTGGCTATGGATTTTTGTTTGTTTAGGTTTCCTTTTTACTTTTACTAATTTATTGCAGTTTTGTTTAGACATTGAGAAACATTTGTTTGCAATCTAAATCTGGATTTTTGGTTTGGCGAATTTAAGTACTGTTGCAATAACTAAGCACGTCATGAAGACGTTAATCTTGTTTCCTTGTGTGTTCTCATCTTATAATTCGTGCATTATTTGCATATTGTTTTTAGCGTCAAGGTTTTCTTGCAAACGAGATATTTTGTTGGCGCCTATGGAATTGATCTTGTACCAAGTACGAGATAGTAACAGGCTTATTTAGCGGTCCTTCAGCCTGTTTGCCATTGTACTGTTTTCTTTTTGTTTCAGTTCGCCTAATTATTTACTGACAGCTGTTAAACCAAAAGGTGATTCACAATGTTCATATATCGTAGTGATTCATCGAATCTTTATTACAACCAAATATGATAAATTCATTCTGCTTTCAGGATCAGATATGTGGTGTGATAGATTTATTATTTGGATATTAAGTTAAAATATCAAACTTGATATTATATATTTATTAATAATTGATGATTTGTTTTTCTATACATTTTAAAATAACTATCAGAATTGAAGAGACGGTTAATGTTTCAAAATTGTTATATACATGGAAGAATCGAAATTGTCAGAATGTTATTTTATATTGTTGTAAAACTGTCTTTAGAGAGTAACTTGGAATGAAATCGTGTTTTTTTTTATAATTCCCTGGCAAGACTACACTTTATATTGCTGAAAGCCAAGTGAGGTTTTAAGGGCTAAATTTGATTTATTAATGTAATTAATTGAGGGCTCAATGTGACACGAATTCGACTCGTATGTCTTGTAATGAAATTATTAGACGTGACAGTATTCCGTTTTACATTTTGAAGGAAATTAATAAGTTATTCGTTCGTGTTTCCTTATTTGGTAATGGGATCTTCCAAGGGCAAGTAAGATATTAGTTTCAAAGAGCAGAAGCATATAATTTTCAAGCTCCAATCATGCAAATGAAGTTTGAAGAAGACAAATGGTGACGTGTCTGCTATAGTTCCATTGGCCACCTTACGGGAGTAGCCGCCTTTGTTGAATGTGAAGTCTCTGGCTGTGCCATCATACAAGTCATGGAAAATTGTATGGATCATTAATTTATTTTACTTGGATTAATTCTCATCTCGGGATTTTAGACAGCGGAATCCAAAGATGGTAAAAGAAATCAAAGTTGAGGATATTGATGATTAAATCATATATTAATTCCAATTTCCAAATGAAACATGGTAAAAGAAATCAAAGTTGAGGATCAGTGGAAAGAAGACTAAACATGACCATATCTGTGCTTTTTCCCTTGACAAAGCCATACTTTCTGAGAATTCCCTCTCTTTGGAAACCAACCTTCTCCAACACTCTCTGAGACCCAACATTTTGCACGTCAACAAGAGCTTCTACCCTCTCCAACTCTTCCAACTCATTGAATGCAGCCTTCACTGCTTGTTTCACAGCTACCGTGGCAATCCCTTGACCCCAGTATTTGGAGGCAATAACATAGCCAAGTTCCACGGCTTTCTCCCTTGAGGTCAGAGAAATACACCCAATTGCACCACCCTTTAGGCATATTGCTCTGCACCATACAAACTTGTTGGGTATGTCTTGGATGAACTTTATGCCATCTTCTTTGGTAGTGTTAGGTTCCCAAGAGCAAAATCTCGCCACCTTTTCATCATTCCTCCACACCATGAGATCATCGAGGTCAGAAAATTGAAGGGGTCGAAGGGATATTTGAGTCAGATCAACGCTTTCTTTCTCCATTTCGTTTGGATGCATACCGTCGATTGATCAGGTTGTAAGCTTTTGCCTATTTATAGGAAAAGAAAAGGAATGTGCAGTGCATGGAAGATGGGTATACTTTTACGCAGACAGTCGACGATTTTGACTCAAATTTTTTAAGGAACCATTATATATTGACTAAAATATTTAATCAAAATTCAGATTAGTTATATATAATTTTATAAATTTTTTAAAATAATATATTAGTAAGGTAGAATGATTGATATTGGGAGTGTTTAAATTTTTTTTAATATAGAAATGTAAGTAGTAAAAGATTTTTTTGGAAGAGCACACCTTCATAGCAAGGCCGGCTACCATGGTTGACTATGAAGGAACAAATTATTACGTGGTGTAGACCATGTTTCCATTATTCCCATGCCATCACATCCATGATCTCTATCAGATCATCTCCTGTCTATGCTATCAACCAATCTCTAGGTAGAAAGTGAAAAAAAAAAAAAATCGATTCAAATAAAAGATTTAATGGGGTTTGTCTAAGTTGCCCTATGTGGTGTAACTCTATCTTAAGTCTGTAGTCATGAAGATTAGAGTATCAAAATTTGTATTAACTTTTTAAAAACAAAATTTCAATACTAGTTATTTACACGCTTTTATAAGGTGTTGTGTTGATATGCTTTTTTTAATTAATAAAATAAATTGTAATTTTCTATCGTTTTAAAAAAGATTTGAAAGATAAAATCTTACAATATTATTACTTTTCTGATAAACAAAACCTAGCCAATAGCAAGTTTAGTGAGTTAAACAAATTAACAAATTTAATTTGATTTTTATTAAATTTAAAAATATTTACAAATGCAAGAGAAACGTACTAGTTACTTTTCTGAATCCTAAACAATCTTTTTGACCGAACTGAAAGGAAACAAAGTATATACTTCTACTAAAGCAAAAAGAAGTATATATTTCTACTAAGACAGCATAAGTCAGTAAAACTCAAAACATCTCATTTTATGTTTTCAAAGTGGCGGGTTCTAATATCCTCCATTCTTTTGTAAAAAGTAAAAAAAAGAAATTTTTTGCAAAAGTTATCATGTATTATGAACCGTTGATTTTAATCGAATGGTTAAGAATGAATTACAGGATACTGATTATTCAAATTAGATTTTGAAAAGATATATTGGTAATTTGTACTTTTATTTTTCTTCATGTTTTGTTCCTCTTCTTCTTCTTGGTGTTGGTCATCTTGTTTTCTTCAGCGTTATATTAAAAATTATATTTACAGAATAACAGGTAGGTGTAGAGTGTTTACAATATTAAAAACATGAAATTTTAAATATTAAGTATGTATAAAGTTAAGATAAAAAGAACATCAGGTTGTGGAGATTTAATATAAAAAGTAGGAGGTAACTATATTATTACAATGAAATTGGTTGTGCAATTTAGAGACGGTGAAAAAAATAATGAATATTGGATAATTTCTGCAAGGGATCGAGAGTTAAAAGATGAACAATAGTTTGTGGGCCTTTACATTTGCATCGGTTGTGTTATAAAATCAATATAATTAGGTGAACACCTTTTATATTTGCGCATGAATTCAATTTGCATCGGGTCTGTGGCAAGTCTGATGTTATTAAGCAACCACTTTATACATTTTCCGCATGGACTGTATTTACATCGGTTGTGTTGGGTTTATGTTGCTAATTTTTACATCGGTTATCTGAGAAAACCCATGTAGAAATTACATTTTAATTTTTTAAATATATTTTATAAAGAATTATTGCTTCGGTCATCCAATTCAACTGATGTAGAAGTGACTTTTTCCAACCACATTTCATGTTCTTCCAGCCATGTCTCATTGGAATCCAGATTGATAGGCCAGTGCATGTAATTCAGAGGAAATTATGAAGGAAGTCATAGAGGAGAAATCTCATTTTTGTTAATTTTATCAAACAAATTTCAAAGTTTAGATGGAAAAAAAATTTGGGAATGAAGTAGGTTGAGAAAAAACAAGAGAGATGAAAATGAAGGAGTTGCAGAGGAAATTATGAAGGAAGTCATAGAGGAGAAATCTCATCTTAGTTAATTTTATCCAACAAATTTCAAAGTTTAAATGAAAAAAAAAACTAGAAACGAAGAAGGTTGAGAAGAATAAGAGAGATGAAAATAGAGTTGTCGTATAGATGAAGAAGAAAGAGATAAAGGAGAAGTAGTTATGTACATCGGTTATCTGAGAAAACCCATGTAGAAATTACATTTTAATTTTTTAAATATATTTTATAAAGAATTATTGCTTCAGTCATCCAATTCAACTGATGTAGAATTGACTTTTTTCAACCACGTTTCATGTTCTTCCAGCCATGTCTCATTGGAATCCAGATTGATAGGCCAATGCATGTAATTTAGAGGAAATAATGAAGGAAGTCACAGAGAAGAAATCTCATCTTAGTTAATTTTATCCAACAAATTTCAAAGTTTAGATAAAAAAAAATTTTGGGAATGAAGGAGGTTGAGAAGAAACAAAAGAGATGAAAATGGAGGAGCAGTCGTAAAGATGAAGAGGAAAGAGATAAAGGAGAAGTAACAATTTACTTATTTACCCTTCTTTAACATTTTATTACTCAATGTAGTTATCGGTTCCTTTTACCTTTTCATCAATTAATCTTAGTCATTCATTTTATATCTACAAATATCAACGGTTCAAAGTTAATTTCTTTTTACTTATTGAAAAGCATTGTATTTACTTTTTACAAAATAAAGGAGTATATTAAAACCCGCCTTCCAAAGTAAGGAACTAAGGATAATATAAAGTGTTCCAAGTAAGGATAACATAAAGTGCAAATTCATTGCAGGGAAAGTCTTATTTACTGTTACAAAGCGATTCTTCACACAAGTCACTCTTAACATATCTTTTGGAAGCTAAAACATACATACAGATATGAAAAAAGTTGCTATGATCAGATAATCCTAAACTGATAATCTCTTATTTCTCATGATAAAGCTTCAATTTTACTAGCTCAGTTAAGAATTTGATACGCCTGTTATAGAAACGTCCCAAATGAATAAAGTACTCACAACATTCAGTCTCTAAATTCCTTAGTCCTCATTAGTTGAAGGCCTTGAACATCCACAAGCACACACCTTACGCCGCCTTCTGCTATTTTTCTTCCCAATGTGAATGAAGTCCCTCAGCAACACACCTGTTGGTCTAGAGAATCTGTTTTTCCCTTTGTAGTTGACATCAGCCAATTTCAGCAAAATGTATTGGATGTTCTGCACCTCAAACTGCAACCGTCCTATTTGTTCAGAACCTCTTCGAGCTTGCTCTGTTACTCTTCTTCTTTGGATTTGTCCTCCATGGTTCTCCAACTGCATTGAAGCATCTGTGTCTGAAGATGAGGTTCTCTCATCAATATCCTTTACCAGTTGATCATATATGCCTATTTGGTGCATGACAGCTTCCTCAACATCCTCCATATGTCTTTTAACTGTTTCATATTCAACTTCATTTACCTTCTTGTTCTTCTTCTTTGTCTCTGGCTCCTTTTTCAAATCTTGTAGAGTCATTTTAAGAATGGCCAATTTCTGAGAATCTGAAGCAAGCCTCTCCAAGATCTTCCTCTTGCTATCTTCAGTTGTCTCTTTTCTAGTCATCGACAACTCCAGCTTGTCAATGCCCAATTCCTTCTCTGTCTCCAATTCTGAAGAGTAATTTTGACATTTTTCTGAGTTGCTTGACTCATGACATGTAATTACATCCTCTATTGAAGTAGAACTAAGCTTATTTTCTTCAGTAATATCATGTTGATCAGTTTCACATAACTCAAAGGTATGATCATCAGTCCTACTATTATGCCCTCTGGTGCAATACTTGGAGTCTGCATCATCCGAGTTGTGATCAAGTGGAATATCTTTCATCAATGACCTTTTTTGAGATTTTGTTCTCCATGCTTTGTGGTCTCTTGTGCAGTCTTCCTTAATTTTCATCACTTTTCTGTTGTCAATTTCTGGATATGTAGCAATATCCAAATTTGAATCCTTGGTCAATTCTGTCAGAGCTCCTTCTTCAACATTGGAAGTTAGATTTTCCTCTTTGACATGTCTTTCCAGTTCTTCAAACATTACCTTTTCAACAGCTCTAATCTTTGTCTGCATATTCAGCAAATCTGCAACCGCATCCAGTATTAAGGTGCTTTCATTTTGCCTTAAACTTGGATAGCTATTTTCATGTAGACAGGACTCAATCACTACATCCTGGACAAACATTCATGATAGGCATGGATAAGTTGAAAATATATGTGAACTGCATAAGATGTTTTGACAAGAGAAAAGGAAGAAGTAAAAAACGAAAGTACATAATATTGTGTGAAAACATAATGCTACCTTTTGTTCTATGTTGCCTACAGTAAAAGTTTTGTTGGTCCAAAGAAAGTAAGTGTGCTCGAGAGATGCAAAATCATCTTTCAAAGAAGCAATGACAGGAGTATATGCAGATAACTTCCCCTTCAGTCCTCCAATTTCATTTTCTAGTAAACTGATTCTTTCTATCATCTGTTCAATCGCCATGCTTTTTGCAGCACTTTCATCATCAAGTCTCCTGCAAACTCCAGTAAGCTCAGCAACCTTACCTTTCAGCAGTCCTTCACTGATGGATGAAATCTGAAGATCCAAATAGAATGCAGCAGCTTCAGCCTCCAAACGTTGGAGTTCATTTGTTTTATCCAGCAACTCTGAATTCACTGTTTGTTCCCTAACCTTTTGTAGTTCAACTTCATGCAGTAATGATCTCATCGCAGACATAAAACTTCCATTTTCTTCAGTAAGTTGTTCAATTTCTTTTTTCTGGTTCATAAAATTTTCTGATAGTTCAAGAATCTGCCTGTCTAGAGCTCCTCTGATCAATCTTGATTCTTCTTGATCCGTCTTCATCTCCTTAATGCATTTGCAAAATTCAGCATTCAATGCCTCAGCAACCTTTAACCTTTTCTCCATTTCTAGCAGCTCAACTTCTTTCTTCCTAAGAAGATTCTCTGAATTTTCAACTTGATGACATAAATGACAATTTGCATACTTGATTTCCTGCAGCTCTTTGTTCATCCTCTTAGTAGACTCGTTCAGATAAACATTCTCTGCTTCTTTCACCTCAAACTCCTTTCTTAACACGTCAAGTTCCTGATTGAGGTCATTGTTCAAACGGCTAAGATTGCTGCTTAGATGTCCAGAGAGTGCTTTTTGTTCAATGACTTTCTCGGTGAGAAAGCTCTCATAAACCAAACTGAGGTTTCTTAGAGCTAGTACCTCATGGAGTATTGCACTGTTTTCATCTTCAGCAATGGACATTGCTTTTTTGAGGTCCAAAACACTCCGAAGAAATGAATTTTTCTCCTCAACCATCTTACTATTTTCTTCCTGAAGCATTTGATTTGTTCTCCATGAATCTATCAACTCCGCTTGCAGAGCTGCCAATTTGGACTTTGATGTATTCTCCTTTTCTTCTCCATTAGCCACATCAATCTGCAGTTTCTTGTTCTTCTCTAGAAGTTCACCCTTATCTTTCTGCAACGTTACATTAAGCTCTCTCATGTTTTCCAGCTCTTGCTCCATGATCTTTTTCTCTGACTCCAGTTCTTCTCTCTCATATTGATGTTGCTGAAGTGAAGTTAGGAGGGCAGAGTTCTCCACAACCAGCTGGTGCTTCTCCTCTTGGATTTTCACAATAGCAATTTTCAAGCCCTCAATGTTGTCCAAAACATGTGATATGGGTATTTCCTCTTGCTTGGTTCCTTTGTCATGCCCACTATCTGGATCAATCTGAAGAGCCTGACACAACTGATGAATAGCCATTTTAAGCTTTCTAATTTCATGCAACAAAAACTCTTCTTCCATCAGTTGCATAAGATTTTCTGTCTCCAACTCAGAGATAACTTTGTTAGAAAATTTTGATGCCTCTACATGCTTTTCACATTCAGTTAACAAGGCCATGTTCTTCTGCTCTAGATCTTCTATACTATTTTGCATGATGAACATCTCGACCTGAGCATTTATAGCTTTGTCAAGTTCTTTTTCAAATTTCATCTTCCCCAACTGCAGTTCTTCCTGTAGTACATGAACAAGATTCTCCAAATTTGTTAGTCGGGCTTCACTTGAGTGTGTATGATTAGCATACTTTTCTTTTTGCACCAAAATTGAAGCACGGAGTTCTTCTACTTGATTGTCTGTGTTTTCTTTGTCCTTCTCCACATCAGCTAATTTTTCTTCTAATTGTATAAACATATTTTCCAGGTTGCTTAGTTTGGCCTCAACGCTCTCCAACCGAGATACTAGGATGCTTCTTTCATTTAGAAGACTGTACTTTTCATCATTTAGCAACTTGCAGATTTCTTCCAAGTCAGTTGATTTAGCCTTCAAACCTTCAAGCTCACTGTTTGCATCCGAGAGGGACTTCTCTAGCAAGACATTCTTCTCCAATAACTTTGGCATACTTTCAGCGGTAATTTGTAACTGTGTAAGTAGGGCTGATTTCTCATCAACAAGAGTGGATTTTTCTTCCTGGAGAACTTGGCAAGACTCTTGAAATTTCCTCACCGTTGCCCTTAGCTCATCTAACTCATCATTTAATCTTGACAGGGAAAATTCCATGAAGGCATTTTCTATCAGAAGTTCATCCATATCCTTCGATTTTTCACGAAGAACATCTTTCTCATTGCGTTCCGTTTTGCATAGCTCCTTTGCCATTGAGTTCTCATTTTGTAAATCTTTCAGAGATGCTGCAAAACATTTAGGATTCAGACCTAAAGTCTGTAATTGCTCCAACATAGCCTGATATTTGTTATTCAAATGCTGGATATCATCCTTTATTTGATGAGCGTCCTGCAGGAGGGCATTGCTTTCTTCAGCATTTACAACAAACTCTCGTTCAAGTTTCTCTTTGATCTCCTTCAATTTAGAGATTTCAGTTTGCTGTTTTCTTAATAATGACTTAGTGGAAGAGAGAGTAAGTTCATGCAAAAGTCTGTTATCTTCCACATTCTCTTGCACTTCTTCTTTAAAACCTTGTTTGGAAAGCTCCAAGTCCTTCAACAGCTGAAGCCCATATTTAAGCTCCAAAACAAGAGTTCCTTGCTCCTGTTGTGATTTGGAGTACAACTTCTGTAAAGTCTGCAGAGTGGATTCAATTTGAAGAAAGTGAGAATGTTCTTCATGCATTAGAGTCTGCAGTCTCTCTATCTCAGTTTGCTTCTCTAGAAGTTCTTGATCCTTCATAGCGATCTTCTGCACCAGACTTTCAGCCTCTGACCGAAGAGATTGATTTGATTTCTCCAACACATCATAATGTTTTTCAGCAGTCTTAAGTTTTTCAGCCCCTTTCTCAATTTCTCTTTGTAGTTTTTCAGAATTTTCTTGGGCACGCAAAATTTCATTCTCCATTTTAGCTATTTTCTCCAAGCATTGATGGTAAAGGACAGCTACAGATTCTTTCTCTTCATTCAGTTCAACAAGATTTTGTCTCAGTGCTTTAACTTCCAGTTCTGCTCTTTCAAGTTGCTCATTTAACATCCTGGAATTCTCCTCAGCAAGGGTTATCTTGGCCTCCAAAACTGAAATCTTTTCAAGACACTGCTTATATTGAAGAAAACCAGCGTCTTTCTGAACTTCCAATCTGCTAAGTTCTTCTTTTAGATTTTTGGCTTCAATTTCTACCTTAGCAGCTCTCTCATCAAGTCCCTTGGCATCCAGCTGGGCCAGAGATAACATGGTCTCCAGTTTAGCTATAATTTCTAGACACTGGTTGTACTGAACTTGACCAGCATCCTTCTCAACTTTTAGCTGTGCCAGGGCTTCGTTCAATATTTTAGTTTCAATTTCAGCTTTACTTGCTCGTTCATCAAGGCCTCCCACATCTTTTTGTGCCTTATTAAGATCACCTTCCATTTTGGTTATCTTCTCCAAACTCTTCTGATACTGAAGAAAGATAGCATCCTTGTCAGACTGTATTTTGGCCAGGGCTTTCCTTAAGGTTTGAACTTCACTATCTGCTCTCCCTGAATGGTCAGCCTCTCTTGGTGTGTGTGATTCAGCACCGGGTCCTGAAGAACCATAAGGTGAATCATCAGTCAGAATGTAATGTGCTTGGTTGGGAAATGCTTCTTGTATGGTTTTATGGGCATAGCGTAGCTCTCCCATTGCATGATCATATCTCTCTGCTAATGCACGGTATGCTCGGTAGAACTCCTCCACTAATTTCATGAGTTCCGGTCGCTTCTTATAGTACATTTCTGCCCTCCTAGCAAATGAATCTGCTTCCTCTTCAATGAGCTTTATCATTGCTTTGACTTTGGTATCTATGTCTATGTAAACATAACATCACTTTAATTTGTTGGACTAAACAATAGAAGCATGGATACAAATCAACCATCATTTCCTTAATTTCTCACACTTATATAACATCTTTCACAAATTATAACAACTGGATTTGTCATTCATAAACTGTTTGCAACCACTTTTTCTTAAGCGTTAACTCAAAATTTAACTTTTAGCAATTCTTTTATTCTACTTCCATGTAATTTCTTAGATGTTAGTTGCAGAGGTGCTATTTTATGTAAGTTTTAATGCCAAATGAGAATATTACACGGTCGAACAGTGAGTCAAAAAAAAAAAAAAATAGTAGTTCAACCTTTTCTGGGTGATTGCATTTAGAATTGGCACCATCGGCACCCTTTCAAAAGGAAATCTTGTGTGCAACCTTCAAATGCCATTTGCATATAAAATAACCACCAAAACAAAATAAGAACCATATTTATTATATAGATACTCATGCAAGCTTGAGTCTTAATTTCCCTCATCAATTTAACATAATGAATTCCAATTTCATGATTACGTTGGCCTGCAAGCAACAACATGCAAAGTGTGTATATATTATTCCCGCGGGGTAGTTTATGGCTTACACTTTTAGAAGACTGGTGATAAATAGACATTATGATTATGACACAATGACCGAGGAATTTTTATTTTTGGCACTAAACAGATATTAGCTTGAAAGTAGTAAACACCAAAAGAGTGATTAGGCTATAATGAAGAATTTCATTACAGTGAACAATTGTATTCTTATGAAATTTGGATAAAAGATGAGTAACAATTTAGTGTGCCTAATATTTAAAATTTATGGACATCTATCGTGTGCTTAAATTCTTCATTCCAGAGAAAGCGACCTGATATTTTACAGGGCTTTCTATCTGTTACTTTCTTATTGCGGATTGTGGAAAGATATTCTTTTGGTAGATCTTAATGTGCAAAGCACTTACCACTGGTTGTGTAACTTTAGTCTCGTCATTATGGCAGCAAATTTAACCCAGTTGCAAACCAGATAACGTTACAAGTAACAAGTTCAAAACAATATATTCAGAACACTTTAGCACAATTGTAGATATATATATATGTAGAGGAAAAAGACACACCTGCAAGGTTTTCCTGAAGCCATTTTGAATTCTTTGGGCTAATGTGGCTATCCCACCACCAAGAATATGAGCGCCTAGACTCGGAATGTGACAGGGTTGCCATGACTCCAGCGAAGAACTACAACACAAATAGTCTTGATACTGCTAGAGCCTGGTGTTGGACTTCCACCACCAGTGACAGTGTTTTGCTAATTTGAGACCCTACAATTGAGTTTAGCCATTTCTTGTACCTACATCGAATAAATGTATTAATAGTACATTTAATAAGAATTGCTCCAGATTCATGAGTCCAACTTTACTCCCATGGCTTAATGCATAAGAAAGTATTAAACTCTTTTAACATAGAAGTTGTATTACCTACCAAATTGGACACAGCTCCAGTTAATCAGTGAAGGAAACTTGTTTCAAATTTTCAGACAATTTGCTATCAGGGGGACTGCCAAAGAAAGGAACAAGAAAGAGTAAAAAAAAAACGTCTTTAAACTGCAGGGAAAGTGCATAAGCATGAAATACCAAATGCATACTAGAAGCATCGATCCTTCAGCATGATGAATTTTATCAAAATAAAAGACTTCCAAATGTGAAACACAGTTCCAAAATCCAAACACAATAAGAAAATACATTTTCTATCTTGCTCAAATTTTGTATGCATTTATTGGTTGATTTAATGGAGAAATTTTCCTTCAAGCAAGGGTAATTTCCATGATCAAGCAACAGACCCGAAGGTAACCGGAAAAAAAATGTACTCGCAAAACGACCAACAAAGATGTCAAGAGCAGAGGAAATATAACAATGAACACTGGTATTTGGTAGCATCCTATGCAAAATGATTACTGATGATCATGAAGGGTTAAAGGAGAGGACAGAAATAGACAAAAAGTTTAAAGAAAAGGTACATCAAAAGGAACAAAAGCTAATGATCATGAGCAAAACGAATGATGAATTCAACAAAAGCATACCCTTGTAATAGCTATAGCCTATATAAGAGCAAGTTCTTACCAAGTGAATGAACTTGATCAACGACAACTTAGAGGAGCAAAATGTTATCAAACCAGCCAAATGGGTATCCAGAAAACCACACAAAGTTCATGCTTTGGAACAATTCAGATCAACCACACCCCAAAACGATGGAATCAAACAATGGGATCCTCATCAGCAGCTGATAACAGAATCCTAAACAGCTGCAAAACTTGAATTTTACCCCATTTTCTGAATCGCAAGACACAAAGTGGCAACCTTCATTTAGTGTCTTTGAAGTGGGACATTGGCAATATAAAATTGTGGCGTGTCGGCTCTGACACTGTATGTATGACTCATCAACTGTAAAAAGGACAACCAACACACACTGATCACAGCAAAATCAGAATGTTCTGGTTTAATTTTAATTCTCTTGTTTTAGAGAGGTTATTATAATTATAATAATTTCGTTACAGTATCCTTTAAGGAAAAGATGCGTGTGAATGCATAGTAAGCGGAGTCTCCCATTCCAACAAACATTAATGAGATCCAAAATCATGATTATGCTTTAATCACTATAATTAATTCGGAGATATTAAGCATTGTAAAACGGTCGTATTCTTCAGTATTAGAGCAAAGGAAGTATGGAATGTAAAGTTTGTAATCTAATTATGAGGTTCTATGTTTTATATAATCTCTATTCCTTCCCACCTTGCAAATAGAATGACAATAATTGGAATAAAGTGGGAATGCTAAAGCCAAAAGCTGTGGTGGTTGGAAGAGTTTGTCTTTTGTAAAGTACAAATGCATTAAACAAATTGTAAATCCTATAATACTTGTTTTCAAATATACATTACAAATAATTTCCTTTAGAGAATATGATAAAATACATAATGGTTGTGTATTACTAGCATAAGATTCTTGACTCTACTACTAACATGGAACACACATATATGATAGTCAAGGTGTTTGGTCAGAAAGAGAAAGTGTCCCACCCAATAATTAATGATTCACAACAGCAAACCCAAAAGGAAATACTTATGGTCACTGGTGATGCCCAGTTGTTACCATTAGTGAATATTGTAATCATTTCATAGTGGTCAAAATAAATATTTAAATTAACTGAAAATTTAATTTGGCTTATCAGTTAACCATTATTGCAAACAGTTTCATCCGCAATTAATAGATCAAAGTGGACAAGTTCTCCTGTGTTAATAATATATCCTATTCTTCACAACTTTTGTTTGAGTCTTGGATACTTTTTATGCTAGATACCTTTTTATATAATATAAATTTCATAAATTTAATTGTTCAATTATTTGATATTGTCTTGTGTATCAAATTTTAGATAAATTGAATATTAATAAATAATATATTTGTAGCTGATATAACATTTTGAAATAATAATAATAATAATATATTACAATAAATTTAATTGATGAAATATTAAATAATTTTTAAATTATATAAAAATTAATGACTTGATCTACTTAATAAAAATAGCGATGATTCAATTGATAAAATTTAATATTTATAAAAAAATATTAAGTGAACTAAGTATTTCAAAATTTATTCTTTGAGTAAGTGAGCTTATTTCTTTTCTTTATTATTAATTTTTTTTATATCTTTATATAAATAACACAAATAGAAACACACTAAACACGAGTATATATTAAAAAAAATATGAAAACGTGTGCTTTTCAGCGACAAAATATATTTTCTTTGAGAAGTGTCAAATGATGTAAAGATTTAAAAGAAAACAAATTAAATGGAGTTGAATCGTCACAAACTGTATCACAATCTAGAATCTGATAAGTGTTATATTTTTATTATCAAATATAATCCATGATGAAAGAAGGAATTAAAAATAGAAGAAACACAGGTTTATTGAATATGCAATTTGATGACAAGTTAGCTAGTTGACACCGTTGATTTTTGGTCACAACCCACGTGATGCATTTGAATTGACAATCATTTTAGATAATATAATGTAAGAAAATCATTTTATACCGACTATCCATAATAGCAAGACCTTCTCAGTTAATAGTTATTTAAAAATTGGTAAAATACAGTACATCTCCACTGATAGTGTACGAGTACTGGCTAGAAATTATATACTCATTATATATTGTTTACCAGTAAAAATTGATTTTTTATTCTGGAATAAAGAACATATTTTTTAATAAAAATATTATTTTAAATATAATTTAGAGTATAAAATAAAATAAAACCTTATATTTGGCTCATGTTTCTTGCTCTTTGGCATCTAAAAAATAGTGCTGCTTTCTCTAAATTTGTTGGCTTCTGAAAAACTGAGAACTATGTTTTGAAAACGTGCTCACGTGTCTCTGGTCCTATTTATCGTATCAACTAAAACTCCTGTTTCTCCATAACTACAGAAACTGTTGGTAGTTGCCGACATTTCGCGAAATCAAGTTTTATTTTGTTGACTTCTCTTTTCTTTTATTTATTTATTTATTTATCAGACTCTTATAGAATTATTATTTTTTATTCATACATTTTAAATATTTTTAGTTTTAGATTTTCTTACTTGCCCTTAAAAGAAAGTAGCATGTAGCATGTAACATGAAAAATGACCAATGACAACATCTAACATAAAAGTAACAATTAAAAAAAAAAACTAAAATGTATTTGAAGGATTAAAAATCCTATTTATTATTATTTCTTTGAACATTAAAAATGAGATAAAAAAAATAAATTGGGTATGACATCGCTTGGTTGACAACAGTGGTTCACCTCTTTTACGAGGCAAAGACAATTTAGAGCCCACTTCAATCAACCTTCTTCCTTTTGTAGGTACTATTTGATATTTGATGTTACTACCTAACAAAACTAAGAACAAGTACTTGCAGAGGTTGAAAATCACCGACCCACATGATGTGATCTTGCTCCATACAATGGCCCCTCTCTTTATATCATTGGTTGTAAGCAAAGATGAATGAGACATGTATTGGTACACACGTATGGTATGTATGTATGTATGTTGGTTCTATCTCTAGTGATTGAGAAACTTGAGTTATATCTTATGCACCTCTGTTCTTAAAGAGCAACACAACCCTCACCAACCAAAAGAGCAACTTAGTGTCTTCCAAGTCTAGAATTAGAAAGCGTTGTGGAAAAGCTACTCTTACGGTCCCAACCCCGTTTCCGAAAAGATTATGAATGAGATTGTGTTTTCCTTTTTTGGTAGCTTTGCAAGCCGTACGGGTCATTATTTCACCAATTGTGCAGGGTGGCGTGCTAAAAGTTCAAGACAGAACAGAGAGGGTGGGTGCTGTGGGGATTCACAATTTTATTGTGCAATCAATAACTCACTTATACACAATTGATCATGTATTCAATTTTCCCTTGGTTGTTTCTTTGTGGATTTTGTTCATAGATTCTTGGGATTAAGATGTCACAAAATGTTGATATCTCTACCAAGTTCAAGTAACCACCTTTGTCCCGTTTTATTAAAGAGTGAATTTACTTAAGGGGTCCAAATAATTATATAATGCTTTCTGAAGGCAACTCTTTGTTCAAAATCTCTGTTGAATATGGAACATATGCAGGTCATAATTGAATGATCTTGTTATCGCATTACCGAGCCCAAATTCTGGATCCATTAACTAAGGTTAGGCTATCTCACATAATGATTACTCAAGTTAGTTGGTGTTGACAACGTTCAAAATCTTTGGTATAATCAGTGCCACACTTGTTACAACAGTGGTCAACTACTTCTGAATTATTTTTTTGATTTGACTACTGATTAAATAAAAAAATATCAAATTTATTAAAATTTAAAAATGCATTAAAAACCATAAATACAGTGTATTAATAACATTATTAATAAAAGTTTTCTAATCTTAATTTCTCAAAAATACCCTAACAGCCTTTATTACTATTTTCCTTTTTTAAACCAATTCTTAACATTGATAACGTAAAACTCTTAACAAATATAGTTAATAATTATAGAATCATCGTACGTTTTAATTTATCCTAGAGCAATATGTGCCATTATCTTTTGTTGTGACTGTTTTATTGAAGGAAAAATTCTTGCATATACCACGAAACTGCAAGAATGACATTGCAACTCTATAATAAAACAAATAAATTAATAATGATAACAATAGTTATGATTCAGACGGGAGTAGAGGTTAGCACTTTCAAATTCATGTGACGATGCATAGTGGTCAAAAATATTCCATTTTCATAATGGTTTCCTTGCTCGTACCAAATCAAGACCATGGAGTGATAGCTGGCAGGTAATAATGATTAAAAGAGTAAATAAATTTTAACAAAAGATTTCATACTAATATACAAATAAGTATTTCTTTTATTCATAAACTAAGATGGGTGGTAAGCATTTGCTCTGACAAGAAGGGTCCACAGCAAGGTGTATATAGAAATTTTAGATTGGTTACAACTATACATCTCGTTTGGTTGATAAAGTTGCAATATGATTCTCATTCACTTTTTGGGACAAGTCAACACAAGCTTAGATGAAAATAATTTACAGCAAAGCTCATTAGGAACTTAATCACAACCAAATGTCCAAAATCATAACAGAAAAACGTAAAGATTAATCCCTGTAATGATTATAACCATTACTTCAATAGTACATTATGGAAGGAATGCAACATATTATTACAAAAGTAAAACAAAGCTCAATATACATAAACCTAAGCATAACTTCTACTGCAACAAACTAAAACATGCTTAAAGAAAAAGGAGGGGGGGGGGGGGGAGGAGAGGAGGACTAACTTACAAGGAAAAATATCCCCATTCTAAGGGTGAGGGGTGAGAGAAGGAAATGAAGGAATGGCTTGTAATCTCAACTTCCTCACACCTCTGCGACTAGGAGATGATCCCAAGTCACAGTTGGGAGAGGAGATTCTCTTTCCATTTGGAGAAGAAGTTTTGATGCAAGTGATAGGAGAGCTATCACCTCGGAGAATTTCTGGCATTTCGTCATCTGGGACAGTTTGAAAATGCTTAGCTTGAGACCAGAGATGATTTGGTTTTCCAAGCTTTTGGCTGGCAAACAATGCAGAACCAGAGATGGTTGTAACAAAAGACCTTGGTGGCTTTCCCTTTGATGAAAAGGGCAACGGAAGCAATGGCCTGTCCCACAGAAATTCAATAACATTTAATCAATAAGGGATATTAGTTTTGTCATCTCATCTCAGCTGACAAAAAGTCAGCATGTCAAACCTGGAAAGCCGTAATGGTGTTGACACAATAGCAGAATCTGGATGATCTTCAGCATTCTGAATTTCCGTTTTCTGCAGGGCTTTTTCCGCCACACCCTTGTCAGATGCTTCTGTTTCTTCTGAGTCAGTTTCTAGGCATATAGGAGCAGAACCTGAACCAGAAGTAAAGAAGGAAAAATCAACAAGCTATTTAACTACAGGAAAACTGTTATCATGTAAAACAAGCAAAATGCTAAACTTCTAATATGCCAAATTGAAAGTCAATTTGATGGTCTTGATTGGCAATATACTGCAGTCATAAGGGACTTACCATCCTTTCTACCATAAGCATTCTTGCACCCTTCACATCTACAGCTAATGGAGCAACCAACCCCACCCTTCAAAAGAAAACTACCATTTGTAATTCACATTATAACTGAAATTGGGAGCATACGTGATATAACAAGGGTGAAAACCTGATAACATTCACAATATTTCTTTAGGCAGTTCGATTTCTTGCAGTTGCATCCTCTTTTGTGTCGTGCTGAAGCTGGAGTTTTGTTTGGATCATCCTGAAAGAAGATAATAATTAATACACTATAAAATGTGGTTTAAATTGCACAGGAGAAAAACTGAATTAAATTTATTTTCTAACCCCAATATCAGGTACAGAATCAGAACTTCTGATGACTTTAGGAGCAAATGCAAGAGGGTTACGAGATTCAATCTGCTTGCGAGTTTGAAGAACAGTGTCTTCATGAATTGGTTTGTTGAAGCACTCCTGACAGGAGCAGGGCTCTATGCAGTAGACACCAGCGGCAAAGCACTCACAATAGCTAATAAAAAAACAAGGGAAAAAGTATAAAATAAGGTTGATTTCAAGTACTGGGAGGAAATTCACAGGCAATAATATCCTGTAGACCATAACAGGACTGATTAAACATGGAGAATTGACACCAATTCATTTGGTGTAAGTCATTTAAACTCTACAGAATATAAAACTTAGCTTACATGGTTTTCTAGGTTTTAATCAAAGACTAGTTGAAGGATGATTATTAGATGATACTATATGAGAATTCAAAATTAAAGCTGCATTAGTGTGGTACAACTTAATAAAGCTAGGACAATAGAACTTCATCAACACATACATACAGTACACTACCCAAACTCATTGCTGCAACCCAAAAGTAGAGAGTTAAAAGGAGGATTTATTTCAGCTTACAGCTTCAAACACTTCGATTTTTTGCAATTACATCGTTTACAGCCCTCAGTTTCTCCAGCTGGCTCCAACTTACGCCTGCAAATTCAATGCGGTATAAGGTTAATGAAGAAAGTAAAAACTCAAAATAATGGACTGAATTTATCAAGCATAAGCACGGGTAATCAATAACTGCATTTGCCTTTTCTTTTTGGGGCTACTCTGATTGAAGTCTTCACCAGCCATGTATGCCTGGTAACAATCTTCAGCTGGTTGAACCCCATTGTCTGATGGATCCAATTCTCTTTCAGATGATACAGGTACCAATGCTAGTTGCTGATCATCTTGGCTAGTAGAGATTTGCAAAGAAGAGCTGGGCAGATTGAGTTGTGTTCCAGAAGATGATTTTTCATTTTGTATGCCATTGTAATCTTTTAAGGCAGCAAGTGCATTCAAGTGTAAACCAATTCCCCGCAGGATGCCCCTCTGAAAATTTCCATTGCGTTTTGCAGGAAGCTGTTGCTTTTCATTACCAACATTCCTCTCATCAGACTGTAGCACACCAGAACTGGTGTTTGAATTATCATCTGAGTTCTTCCTTCGCACACTGGCCATCTCAAAGTCTAGACAGCGCCTCCGTATAGCACGGTGCGTGACAGAAACAAGCTTCAAACAAAACACAAAAGTGCTTCTAGAGTGATTGATGTGTTAAATACATTATTAAAACAAGTAGAAAGAAAAAAAAATTAAGTTCCAAATATTTGTAAACCACAAAAAGAACACAAAATGCCATATAACATTTCTTTACTACAGCATGTACTAGGCAATGCAAAATGAAGCACAATATTAATTGAAAACAAATTAGATTTAATCTTGTTGTGATGTATTTAAAAAAACAATGATTGGCTAAAGACCATGAAAATTTGATTTTTTACCGAGTTCAATGGCATCATGTGATACATATAGCCAATCTCACTTAATGGGATAAGGCTTGGAGTTGGAAGGGAGGATACCAATAATAATATGCAATCATACACATAAAAATGTGGAAACGGATGTTTATATGATTTAATAGTATAACAGTATATGTAACAGGATAATGCACAATTTTTACAGTTGAACATTTTTGAGGAAAATGTTTTGTAAGTGTACTTTGTATGAATCAGTACTGATACTCAAACCAAGATCAATGCAACAGATCCTAGAAAACCATGCCTTTGTGATAAACTCAGAAATATCCAACTAAATGCAAGAAAAATTATACTACACATAATTCACTTCAACACTGACTTATTTCACTTTCCTACCTCATCATTTGCCTTCTCGTTTGGATTGCTAGTCATCAAAGCAACATTGGCAAGATTACCCTGTGTTTGCTCTCTGTCTGTGGCTGTTATTGGCTCAGAACAGTGATCTTCAATTTCATGTTCAGAACCTGAAGCAACTGAATCAACAATGTGTATTTTCCTACCATTATCGATGGTAGATTGTGGAAGCAGAGGCATAAAATCACAAACTCGTATAGAAGAGTCCAAGGGTTTGTGCATCAGACCCTTAAAAGCTTCTGCTTCACCTGGGGAATTAAAAATTAACATATCAGTGGCATTGGGAATTAAACTATCCCAATAACAGTCTGGACCCTCATCCTTTGGTTCAATCTGACATATTTCTTGAAAATGAACTTCACCCTCAACTGGATCCGTTTTACAGCCTTCCTGAACATAGGCAACATCTGATGCTGCCTCACCAGGCAACTCCAAAAGAGAGTTAGCCTCATCACCACAAAGTGGAGGATCATAGCCAGGGCTACCACAATTATATTTTAAAGTTTGTGGTAGCTCAACTGAGAATTTTGTGTGCTCACTCAATAGCTCAATTGAAGAATCTCCTACAGAAATCCCCTTATCAGTGTTTTCCTGTAATTTGCCGGAGTTATGATGTGGACGTGTAGAATCTGCAAGAGTCTCCTCACTCGAGTGAACTTTATTTACATCTTCAGATAAAACCTTGGGCTTTGAAGCATCCAGTGGGTATTGTCTAGAGATGAATAATTGGTAACCATCAGAAATGGGTCACTAAAACATCTATATAAATAAACAAAACTCAATAATCAAAGAACATCAAATAGGATAAAAAATTAAAAGTTTTCAAGGTTACCTTCGGAGAAATCTTGATTCCTTGAGACAGCTGACATGGGGTGATGTAAAAACAGATGGAGGTGAAGAAAAGCTTAGTGAATTGAAAGTCTGACTAATGTGAACAGACTTGACAGGCTTTATAGGAGACAAACTATTGATATAGTTGAATACAGGTGAATCCTGCATACAGCAAAGGTGAAAAATATAATTGAAGTGAATGGATTGAAGGATTATCTTATAAACACACAGAAAAGAAGAGTAACTTTTGTTATTATAAAAAACCATGGAGAGTTATTTCACAGGATACCAACAACTGCAGCAAATCTGAAAATAACTTTTTACCGGACCAGATCAAACAAGGATTGCTCATTAAGCATTATAGATTTGCACATAACAGATGCAATAATGTAGAAAGGGAAGGCTCATATCAATCACCCATGCATGGATAACCCATTTCTACAACATTTTCATACAACACACTTTTTCTCTTTATCTGTCTTTGTCACATCACTTATCTCATAACACACTTCATTCTTCTCTTCTTATCTCTCTCTATTGTGAATAAAAATTGCTAGGTAAAAATGTGGTACAAATAAAATAACTCAAAAGTTCGCCCGCGCGAGAGAGAAATACAATTGTCCCAAAACAGAAGAATGTATGAACTGAAAAAGTGAGACCAGAATGTGACTCTTTATCAAGTTTGTCGTGAAACATTACTATTAAAACTTTAGGGCCAGTGGAATCTGGCCATAGAAAATTAACTTACTCTCAGATATACATCGGCAGAAGTAAAAAGACTGGGAGAGAGAAATTAAGCAAAAGGGAAGAAAAGAAACTAATGGAATTTTCTCAATTTGATTGCAAATACCAAATAATTTTTTTTAAAAATAAAAGCAAGTAAACATATGCGATTTAAAATATCAACTGCAACCCTCCAAGTTTAGACTTCTATCAACACTGTATAGCCCTAAAGAAAAAGAAGGGAAAATTTTCCATAAACACCAAAGAAAAAACACATGAAACCCAAAGCCCAAAGCAAAAATTAGAAACTATTAAAAGGACTTGTAAACTGAACTTGACAATAGATCTACAGCACTGAAGTAATTCACAAGATGACATACAAGTTTTGCCTCAAAAACTCCCAAAATAGAAACTTACCCGCAGAAAGAAGTTCCCCAAATCCCTGAACAAATTAAAAAGAAAAACATTTTCGAAAAAGGCCAAAAAGAACAAGAAGAATAAATCTTGGAAACTAAAACAAGAAAAAGAAAAAACCCAAACGGGGAAATTTGAGATAGAAAAGAAAAGACTTCATAATCCAAGGCATGCAGACAAACCCCAGAAAGAAATTGCAGTGAAAACCGCAGAACCCACAAAATTAAAGATGAAAAAGAATAGAAAAATGAAGAATTGGAAATGGGGTGTCAAGCAAACCTCAAACTTAGAGCAGGGAGGGTTGATCTGGTTCCTCTCTGGTGTGTCCATGTCCAGAGAGGTAGCACCACTACATTACTCTCTCTCACACACACTCTTTCTCTCTCTACTTTGTGAGTCTTTCTCTCTTTCTAAATGGACTTTGGCTAAGGGATGAGAATTCAAGAAGCGGGAAGGCGGGAGAAGAAAGATTTTCTGGTGGGGACAACCCCGGACCACAAGCAAACCTCTCCACAGCTGTCTCTCTATTGTGTCTCCTTTCTTTCTCTCTCTTTTATTTTCTTTTATTTGCAAAAGTAATAAGAATCCAGATTCTCTCTATCTTTACTGTATCTCAATTATCTTCTTATACGGTGTCTTTAATATTTACATTATTAATTTAATTAACTGTTTTCAGTGAAGTTCTTCTTCCTATGATTACCCTCAAATTACTCTTTTATCATTTGGCGTTTTCTGCCTCTATTCAGTGATCATAACACAATGTTATGTGACTATTGCTAATGCTTTCTTCTGTGTCAACCTCCTTTCTTAGTGCTGTTTCTTTATACTTTTGAATAAAAAATTGTATATCTGGATTATACCGTTTTTATTTTTGCCTTCAAAGACATTAAAATCTTAAATTGTATTTATTTATGACATAAATATGCAATCATCCCAAAACTTCTTTATAAATAAATGCTAAATGAAAATTTTTAAGATAAAAACTGTTTGAAACTGTACCCAAAAGAAATTTGTCAGTGGGATCAAATGTCTGTATATTTGTTTACCAAACTTCTACTTAAAATTAAACCAATAGAATAAAAAATATTGCTTTAGTTGTGTGAATAGAAAGAGGTAGGTACTACAATCATGATCATATTCCAACCGCAATGAATAATCTATTTACATCTCCAGCGTATTTGGAAGACTGTGATTTAGTTAGCTCCAAACCCTTTTCTTTGTATGTACTCAGCTATCAAAAGAAATTTTCATATCCTCTCAAAGTTTTTTGTGCTTGAGAGGACTCTAAACTCACCATCAATTTCCAGCCTATGTCAAAAACCATATAGAAAACGTCTTAGGCTCATGCATCATAGTTTGATTCCATTTGATAAAAAATGATTAGCTTGTTTAATGATGACAACATTCAAGGCAAGACATTGTTAAATTATCTTGTCTAATAAATAGTCATTATATTTTGTTTATGTGAAAATTATAATAAAGTGATTAATACTGTAATAATAAATTTAAAAGAATATTTCATATTTTTAAAAATTAACAGTTATGATTATTTTATTTAGAAAGATCTAAAATATTTTTTTAACATTGTAATTTTTTTTAAAAAATTTTAACAGAAGTTGAAAGATAAGAGAGGGATTCGAAATGTGGCCAAATCTCAGCCATGATCATAAGATAGGCAACCTCTATAAGATAGTCTACAAGTTTTTGGGCGGGGTTAATTTGAAAAGGGTGTGGTCTGGTGTAAGTGAGGCACACAGAAACTGAGGAAGACTCGCGTGCATTGTACGTTGATGAAGCATACTTGATTATGGGACAAACTGAAAGACAGGAGGCTCCATTCTCTAATGAAGAGCGCAAACCCATATCACGCACTTCCACGTAGCAAAATTTAATATCCAATTATCGACATACGTAGGTTGGTTGTCAACCTAAGACCTTATGCTCTGTCTGTTGGGCTGTTTCCATCAAGCCTTTTGCAATTCATTAATCAAGGTTTTTATCGTGTGCCTATAATTATATTATATTATTAGCTCAAAATCTTAAGAGTGAATTGAAATATTTAAAAATACTTATTATATTTTTAATATATGTAACATTGTATATTTATTATTTTACATATAATGTTTTAAATACATTGAAATAATATAACTTAATACATTAATAATATTAAATGTTATAATTTTTTATAAAGCTTATTTTATCATGTACAATATTGTACATGTCAAAAAAATTAATTTATATAAAAAAATATTTATTATAAATTATAAAATTTAATACATTAATCCTATTCAATGTTATAATTTATGATAAAAATTTATCATTTATTATTTAAAATATTAACAAGTCAAATTTTGTATGTAATAAATGTTTTTCTAAAATAAGAATATTATTTTATCTATTTAAACACAATATTAAAAATTAAGATTAATAAAATTGACAATTTTATGGCATAAAAATATTAAATGGAAATTCTATGAGATACTTTTAAAAATATGAAAAAAAAATATATTTTTTATTCTCGCACAAGCACTTTTCAAAAACATTATACAAGACTTAAGAAAATAATAAATTCTCTTGAAATTTAGGAAAAAAATGACAAAATTATGTTTTTTTTTAGTACTATGTGTTTTTAGCATTGCATTTAAAAAAATTAAAAATAAAAGACACAAGCAATAGGAAAGATAAAGTTAGAAATAATAATATTTTTGTTGTAATATATAAGAATAGATTATTTATAAAAAAAAAAAACTACAATTACAGTTATTTCAGTATATGGGAAGTTTTTTTTTTTTTTTTTCAATACACTCATTAAACTTTCATAGATAATCATGTAATTGAGAAAATTTTGACAAAAAAAGAAATCCAAATGAGCAACTAGTGCTTGTCCTTTTAATCATGTTTATAGAAAAAAGAGAGCGGAAAATAAAAACTCACTTGAATTCTTTATATAATTTAAAAAAAAATAAAAATTCTAAACCTCAACAATTCACAAGTGTACGATGATGATGCTCTTATGTATGATCCGTAAATGTACATTTATTCAAGGTAGAGGTCCAAAATTAATATGTTCATGATTTTTGCCCCTACCTTATCCTTCCTTTGTGTTCCCAATCTCCACCGTTTTCTCTTTTCCAAAGATTAAGAGGTCCCCTTTAATGGGGCAGGTGGTCCCTAAAGCATGTAACTCACATATACAAGTGTTGCTCACGTGATTTATCCCGCTCTCATCAATACAAAATAGTGAAAAACAAAATATACAATTTAATAAACAAATGAAATATAATGATGTGAGAGTGGAGTGGTCAATGACTCAAGAGTGTGCTGTGTCTTTTGATTTGGTTCTTTTCCAAGCATCTCACCACATTTCCAGGGAGGTGAAGTTCATGCGAATGCGAAATCATAGTGTTGACTATTGGAGTAACATTCGTACTTTGTCTGTCACGTGACATATCACTGGCAAGGACATCCTGGCTACAAACTTTATCCTACACATTCTCACTGATTAATAATAGCAATAATGCAGTATTGGTCTTTTTAGATAACTTAGCTGACAAATGAAGCATATTCAACTCAAGATTAGTTTCTTTTTATGTGGGCTACATTAACACATGTTCTTTTGGCAGTTTCATTTATAAAATATTGAACATTGATCACTTGCTACTGTGACCTTGTATTGGAAATGAATAATAAGGGAAGTGTTTGAGGGGAAGAGAGTGTCAGAGAGTGTAGATTTTTATTTAGAAAAGAATAGAGTTTGACAAATATTATAGAGTTGCTGGCATGGATATGTCCAAAATATATACCAAAAGTCTTTGATTAAGTATTAATCTATTTGGTGGGTGAAGTCTATTCTTTTGGTGTCAGGAGAAATATAATCCATTAGAAGCTCATGTGCTTCCCAGATAATGCCAATAATGTTTAATTGCTTTTGTTTAATCATTTAATTATTATTGTACTGCTTACAATTCTTCATTATTTTTGTTTGACTTAGTGTACCTTTCTGAAGGAAACTTCTTGCATGGGTATGGCCAATCCAAACAAGCCATGCTAATTTTAGGGTTTTCTTTTCCAGTTTTAGACATTTTATTAAATCATTCATTAAGAAAAATCATAATTACAAAGAATAAGCACACTATATTTTATTAAATGGCAAAATTCAACATATGCACCGGTCAAGTAATTAAAATTTGTTTCCCAGGGACACTTATGGTTTCTTTAACAAGTGACTTAAACCTCGTAATATCCAGCGATGCTTCGGTTTCTTTTAAAAGAAGTGTTCTTTATAATATTTTATAAATTAAGAAAGTATTGTATGTCCTCTTACTTGTAAAATAATTATTATATTAATTTTATATTAAATATATATAATAGATAGCTAAATAGTATTTTATTTAAAAAATATAAATAATTTTTAAGTTTTAATTTTTAAATAATAAAAAATTATTATCGTCAATTTTTAAAAAATATAAAATATTTTCTCAAATCTATAGACGTTAATAAATACTCAAGTTCATTCCTTCTAAATCCATGTATATGTCCCGGCCTTGTGACTTTGATCCAGTTTAGTAATATAAATTTTTAGTTTTTATTATTATAAAGCTAGTATAATTATTTGAGAAAAAGAGTTCTACCAATTAAAAGTATTATATTAAAAATTAACTACTAATTTTTTTAATTTTATGATTAATATTTTATGTAATTTTCATTCATACAAAATAATTATATTTTTTCTTTTAATAATTTAACATATTTTAATTAATTTTATCAATCAGTTCTAATTTAATAAACTAAGACCTAATTTAGATAAATTTTTAAAGTAATATTTATATAAAAAATTAATAAAATTTCTCTTATAAGTTAGAAACAACGTGTGTTTATTAATTTTTTTAGAAGTTTTTTCATTTAATTTTTTAAAATTTTTAAAAAATAAATAATTTTTAATTTATAAGAAAATATTTATTTTTTATACTATTTTTTCTATAAATACTTCTAAAAATATATTCCAGCTCCAAATTATAAATTATAATGACCTTCTAGTCTAACGCTAATAATACATTCCTGAAACAGAAACTGTCAAAGGATAATTTGCAAAATTGTGAAATTTAATTGTCGGACTTAATTATAATAGAACCAGCATATTGAAATATATTAAAAAATTAAAAATTTACAAATATAAATTTTTTAATATTCTACTTTTTAAAATTAAATCTTAAATATTATAAAATAATAGAAAATAACATATATTAAATCACAAAAATAATTTTATAAATGTATTCATGCTATTAATCTTTTTAATAATTATCATATTCTATACATATATAGTTTAATTAACCTTGTTTCTTCTTTATTTTTAAAATCCACCTTCAAAACATGCCCTAAACATGTTGAATCATGTTAACATTTTTTTCACGGATCCTTAATAATCGAACGATGCAATGAAAATTCATGATATTGATTCATTATATATATTTTATATAATAAATATAAGTCATGTTCTTAAATGAGAACATTTTAGGATCTTAAATATTCATTATTATAACAAAAAATATTTACTCCTTTTTAAATTATAAAAATTATTAAATTTAAAATAATCATATAACATACATTTTTTTTTATTTAACAATAATACCTATACCGCTCATGAAAATTGACTAATTATATTATAAATATAATAATTACTATCTAATGAGAACAATTATAGAAATGGTTCACATTTTTCTACATTTTATGAATTTGAATGCTTACTTTTTAATGAGATGTTTTTAAAAAAAATTTGTTCTTTATTATAATCAAGCTACTAACATCACCTGCATTAAGTATTATTTTTACTTCTTTTAAACATTATCAATTAAATTTAGCTAGTCTAACTTTAAATTGAATTTTAACTCTTAATATGCCATATAATATATATATATATATATATATATATATGAGATAAATTAAATTTTAACACATCATATTAAATTAATAGATTATAACAGTTCTGCTAGATTTGAACATGATTACTTTAAGTGAAGAATACATGAGTTTAACCTAAAAAAATAGACATAATAATAATAATAATAATAATAATAATAATAATAATAATAATAATAATAATAATAATAATAATAATAATAATAATATCGTATCTTAATTAAAAAATATTTTTTTATATTTTCCACATTTAAAAAATATTTTAATTAATTTTTTAAAAAATTTCGTATGGTATAATTTTGCCATTATTTTATAAAAAACTGAAGCTATAATAGAGGAACTTGATACATGGTAGTTGAACTTACAAATACCGTGATGGCTTTATTTGTGAAGTTATTTGAACAAACAGAATACACAAAGTTGCGTAAAAGATGAAGAGAAAGAAAGCCACATCACTGTTCCACTCCCTCCCAAGAGTGAAGACGGGCTAGTAATAGTATCAAACATTAGCTTATTTACAAGCTTATCATAAAAAATATGAAATGAAAAAAATATAAATATATATATATCCAATATCTTATCACCTTCTCATCTTCCATTTTCAAATTCTGAAAACTAAAGATGGAAGCGAATGCACCACTTAATCGGCCACCACTTTGATTAAGGGAAATAGATCAACGCCTGCGGCTTTCAATTCCCACCGACTTCAATGTCTCAGCGGTTCTAGGACTGCAACAAACCACCTTCATTAATGTTTAATCACAAATACAAGTACCATATTTATGCCATTCCAATAAACGTAAACTTGCATGATAAACATACGTATGAAAATAAGAATAATCAGTGGAATATAAACGTTTTTGTATTGTATTTGTTGTGGAAACACAAGGTGTAAAAGAAGGAACTTACTGAGTGAAAGGATTGGGGTGAACAGGGTCGTTGAGTGTGGCCTTGTTTTCTTGAATATAAGACATTTTCCTTAAGAAGGAACCATCAATGAATTTGGTGGCGGATTTGATGGTGCGATCGGGATCATACACCTCTGGCATGGATTCTCTTCTTTTCTTGTTGACATGAACAGATGGAGACCGTGCCAGTTGTTGATAAGCAGTGTGTGATCCAATTGTCAAAGCCACAACCACCATTCCACACACAATATACACCGGTGCAAACTCAGCCTTCAGAGTGCTCATGCTACCGTCACCAGTTACATACACATCATAGTATTAATTTCCAATTAATATCAATATAAGATAAAAGTGTAACAAATGTTTTATTGATAGCTGGAGGCACCCCACACCTTGAGGTGGAAGCATGGTGAGCAGCATCTACTGTTGGGGACATGGGCTTCAATTTTGGAGTGGTGGGGGTGGCAAATGATCGCGTTCCTCCTCCCAATTGAGTCAGCATTGATCGCCAATTCTTCTGCATGTGTAGAAGAAACCAATTATATAGCACTAATAAACAAAATCTGATTTAAAAGAGGAAACAGTTCATACAAATTATATGTAACGTTTAGTATAAGAATAAGGTTAATCATATAGTGTGAAAATCATAATGAAGATATTTATAAAGGTAAAAATGGCAACAGGCATTGATTTACCGCTGCCCTGAAAGCCATTTCTTGTTGTAGGATTAGAACAAATGAAGCATACAGAAAAGACGTTGTTGTAGGCCATAGGAGAATTCATGGGAATCCATTTATATAGACTTGACTTGAGTGTAGAAGACCCATCAGAACCAACCACGTGGCATCCATTGAAGACTTAGCACACGTGGTGGAACAATATAGGGCAGCATTTGTCACCACATAAGAGACGACCCTTCCCAAACCCACATTTTCCTGTTCCATTTGTGGATAATCCAAACCGCTACAGAGTCGGTAAAACCGTTAATGACTAGGTAACTGTACAAGTGATCAAATCAAATCCCTCAACGCCAGTTTTAGAGACTGGGTATGCCTTTGAATCCATCAAACTCAATTTATGAATGCAAATCCTTGAAAACAATTGTTAAATAAATGGGAAAAAGGTAATAACATTTTAAAATTATGCAAATAAATTATTAAAATATAAAAAGACAATCTACAAAGAACATGTGAGTAAATTTATTGTCAAGAAAAGAATACTTTTTATATTTGAGGCAATGGTCTCGGAGTCGGAACTTGCAAATTAAATGACGAAAAGTAAAAGTCAATACTAGACTACAAAGGAAAATGTCAGACAGAACTCAGAAATAAAGAATGTCAGAATACGTTGTTACAACATACATATGGACAATTCTAACGAAACAGTTCTCTGTGGACTGTGGCATGTGTGGAGCACAAACCCTTATGTTATTAGAGTCTTTTCCTTTTCAACATGTCACGTTGCTCACGAACTTTCCCAGATATACTGTTTCCTTTTCTTATTTGTTTTAGAATCCAATATTTTTCTATGTATGACAGTACAAAGTACCAGTATTTAATTGTCCTTATCCATTCTCAATTTGTTACAAAACGTTGCATTTTACACCTCAAATTCAAATCATTTTGAGCTATGTAAAATACCATTCAACGTTAATTGGGACGATGTTGCGTCTAGCATTGAATGTCCTGTTCTGCTTTTCCTTTTCCTTTTCCTTTTCCTTTTATTTTCTGTGTATTTGAAAGAGTTTGATGAAAATAGTTAAAGATTTTTACAATTTTTAAATTTATTTTAATAAGATTTATATATAATTTATCAAAATAAATAATTTTCAGTTTATATCAATTTATAAAAATGAGTAAATAAAGACAAAATTAAAGCCATACCCAAAGGCACCTTATGCATAAGAGCTTAACAAGTTTGGGACGTATCTATCTATATATGTTTGTGGCATTGGAGTGGGCCATTGAATGCATTAAGGTCATCTTTATCATAATGGACCACTTTAGGCTTACATCATACAAACGTAGGTGAATGTTTATGAACATTGATGAAACCTCTGCCAAATTTAATGGACATGGGCCTAATATGAAGCTATGAACTCTTTAGTTAAACCAACATGTTTAAGAAAAGCTTGAGCCCAAAAGAAAAACCAACGTCTGCTAATAAAAAGCAAGAAAAAGTATATTTGTTTTAATTTATGAAAATTGGAGAAGCACAGAATGATATGATTTAAGTAAAAGAAAAAATATATTATAAATGAAAAATTGTATATGTGAATTAAATTGTATTCTAAATTTATTTTTAATAATAATAATAATATTCTTTGTTTTTTGGCATATAATAATATTCTTTATGATTAAAAAAATTGATCGGCAGAATATTATCGGTTGTCACGTTCTCTACTCTGCTAGATTCTGAAAACAGCTTCTTCCTTTGGACCATTCTCCGCCGACCTAAAATCAAAATTGACATGCAATGCTCATTCATAGTTCATACACACTTTGGAAAACACAAGCACTCGTAATAAAAAATGATTAATTAATAAAATTCAGTGTAAGAGATTTAATTAAACAGTTAAAAACTATACAAATTAAGTATAAACAAAGAATAAAATATAATAAAATAAAAGGGCTTACTTGAGAAAATATGTTTTTCATAATTTAGATGTTTGAGAGTAAGTGGAAAGACAGAAAAAATGTGAGCAACAAAGGGGGAGAAGACTATGGTAGTTTTCGTATTTTTATAATGCTTATTTATTTTAAATAATATGTTATACAATTAAAATATATTTTAAAAAATAAAACTATTTTTTCTAAGAAATAAATATGGTAGTAAATATTTTTATTCTAATTTTTACTCATTTAATTAAGTAAAAATTAAACATATTTATCTCACTTTTTATTTATTTTTTGTTTATTAAAAAAACTACAAAAAATAATAAAAATATAAAAAGAACTAAAGGACTAGGTTTTTTCTGAAGAACAAGCTTAATCCATTGCAAGTATAACTCACTTGGACTCGTCAAAAATTAGGTTCGGAGAATCGGGACGAGCCTAAATAACACGGATCCTGAACCATTAAATGCAATTTATTTTGGCACTCTTATTAAGAGAGTTTTTTTTTAATAATATTATTTATATGAATTTTTTTTCTTTTAGCTTTTATTATTTTTAATTTAAATTTTTAATTATTTTCAATCAATTGTACACATTTTCTATAACCTTAATTTTCTCATCATATATATATATATATATATATTCTATAACCTTAATTTTCTCATCATATATATATATATATATATATATATAAATTATACCTATGTTATTTTTTATATTTCTAAATTAATTATTTAGTTTTGATTTACACATTAAAATTAATTAATTCTAATGAACGCGCGTATGTTTGTCTTAAATTATTCATGCCCAAATATTGCATTGTGTATCTAACCTATCAAAGTTGAGTTGGGTAAGAGGTTTGAGATGTAATAATATAATTGTATATTCAGTGGTTTAAGTTTGAATAATAAATTAAACAAATTCTTATATAAATAATAATTTTTCTTTTTTATTACATGTTTATATATATATATATATATATATATATATATATATATATATATATATATATATATGATGCTTTTGAATGAGAGTATATTTAATAAAAAATATATTTTATTTTAAAATTGCCTACAAGACTCTTTGATGTGAGAAAAAAATATTACTATGATAAATTATACAAAATATTTCATTAAAATAATATATTTTTTAATAAACTTTTTAAACTCTTCCAAATTTACTTGACATTGCACTCTATTCTTATGGGCAACAATTAAACCATATTGACTTGTTAAAATAGATTCATCAAAGCATGCCAATAGATTCAACATTACTGTAGAGTTTGACTTCATAATAGATTTAAAAATATATTTAATTTATATATGAGTGTTTTGTTGTATTTTCTATTTCTGACACTATAATATCATTATAAAATATTTGTATAGAAATTTAAATATATAAACTAGTTAATAAATAAGTGTGGATTATAAAATTTATTTTAACGCAAACAATTTAATTTAATTATGAAATGCTAATAACGTTTCAACGTTCTGTCTATTTTACTTGAAAAATGAATTCTTTATACTGTATATATATTTCAATGTAAACTGAAATCATTTAACTATATATTTTGATGATTAAAAATTATTATTATTATTAAATTTAATTTTTACTTAACAAGTGGTAAGTACGTTAGGAAGTATTTCTGAAAATATCTCGGAGTGCGAGAGATGATTAATTTCAAAATGAATTGAAATTATTGATAAATAAATGTTGAGAAGTAATTGAAATATTTTTATGATTATTTTTAAAGTTTAATTATGCTTTTAATTTCTATAATTATATATATATATAATTTTTTTAATTTTAATTATTTATATTTAATCTCTAAAAATTTTAAAACATATAATTTTTATTATTTTAATTTTAATTATTCATATTTAATATCTCTAACTTTCTAAACGTGCAATTTTGTTCTCTCAATTTTAATTATTCACATTTATAATATTTTATATTTTTATTTAAATATTTTATATATTTTTCCTATAATTATTTATATAAATTAATAAAATATCAACTGTAATTATATTTTTATTAAATGTTAGATAATTTTTTTAAATAAAAAACTTAGTTTAAATTTATTAATTTTATAATTAGCTCATACGTTTTCAACAAGTATATAATTTTAAAAATTATTTGATATTTTATCATGTATAAAATTTAAAATCTAACTTTGCACAATAATAAAAAATATAATATTATTTAATAAGTAAATTAATAAAATATAATTTATTTTTTACTTATTTATTAAATGAAGTAAGTAATTAAGAGTTACTTTTTGACCTCTTTAATTCATATTATGTGTAATTTAAATTAATTAATTAATTATAGTGATTTAAGTCTTTTAATTTTATTTTAGTTAAAATTATCAAATTATTAATTTTTATAAAAGAAAGATCAAATTAAAGTTTTAATAAAATAAATTCTTCTACTTACAAATGGATCAAATATATTTACAAAATCTTTAGGCAAACAATTTCCCTATAATAATAAGATTTGGTTTATTATAATAGAACAGAATACACTTATTATTATTATCTTCTTATTCTTATTTTCTTTATATGTGCACCCTTATTCCATTTATTGCAATTAACGTCATCATGAAACAAGTAAAACGACAAAAATCACTTGTGACCGACAATTTGTGATTGTAATAAAAACAATGTACTAAGTGTATATATATATATATATTTGGTCCTTGTTTGTTTAGATGTATTGGGAGAAAAAGAAGGGGAATGAGGCGAGAATTAAGAGAAAAACTGCATGTGTATGAGGATTAGGAATCAAGGTGTCCTTTCTAACCGAAAAGACATGTCGTCAACAGACAAACGGTATATTTTAAAAACATAGGAGAAGTGAAACGAGGTAAGGTTGTTGGCATTTTGCTTCAAGTTTTCAATTACACCTTATTTTGAAAGAGTCTTTCTGTAATCTCTCTCCTCCACCCCATTTAAGGGAACACGCGCGCTTCTTTCTGCAATCTTTACCGCTGGTTTTGTTTTGTTTTGTTTTTTTCTGCCTTTGCCCCTTCAAAATCGCTTCTTTACCAAATTTACGTTTCATTTGAGGGATGCATTGTTGGGATCCTATTCCTGTTGGCATCTCAGAGTTGCTGATGACCACCTCGGCAATGCTTACCTTCTGCTTTTCTCTTATTACAAAATCCAACAAACCCTTTTCTTTCTTAGCTTAGAATACCTCGAAAGGTATCCATTCATTCACTCTTCACGCACCTACTTTTTTTTTTTTTGGGAAAAAAAAAGTCAAATTTTTCGGCTATGGCTTCTCTTCCTTATTTTGCTAATTCTTGATCTGTTTTTGCTTGTGTGTCTTTCTCGTTCGCTTGATGCTTCTTCTGCCCGTTTTGTGGTTGCTGCTTTCAAGGTTTGTGCTTTGGCATATACTTTTTTTTTTTTTTCAAAGATTTTTCTGGTTCACTGGTCTTGGTCGTCGAATAGTGCGAAATGGGTCATTTTCTGATAGCTATGCATTTCTTTATTCCGGTACTATTTTCTCAAGTGAAGATAGTCAATAAAACAAATGGTTGGAGAGAGAAAATTCTGTGTTTGTTTGAATCACGGAATGTCAATTTTCTAAACAGGATATAATATATATTTTGAAGGGATGTTGCTCCTATCTATCAGTTATTATCAAGCAAACATATTTTTCAAACCTTTTTGTTTTCTGAATTGAATCCTCTTTTGAATATAATTATTTTACCATCTTTAGGGTTGTCCAAATTCGTCTTGGAATTTGAAGTTGTGAATGTTGAAGATGGGTTCTGAAGGCGAGGGTGTTAGGACACCAAAGATGGAATTGGAAGCAGAAGGAACTTTAAATTCAAAGATGAAGGGTGTTGGAAACCAGAGCAGTAAAGACATGATTTTCAGAGCTGACAGAATTGATCTTAAGAGTTTGGACGCCCAGCTAGAAAAGCACTTGAGCAGGGTTTGGTCGAGAAGCCTTGATACAAAAAGGCCTACAGAAGAGTGGGAGATTGATCTGGCCAAATTGGATTTACGGTATGTTGTGGCTCATGGGGCCTATGGTACTGTATACAGGGGTACATATGATAACCTAGACGTTGCAGGTATTTGCATTTCAATTATTTATACAAAATACATGTTATGCACTTTTAGTTTGGCTCTTTTTATCCTTTTAAAATAATGAGTGATAAGAAATTGAAATCTGTTATTCAACGCTGAGAGTTTGGCACTCTTAGCCATAATGTTGAATAAGAATAACTAATGATTTGAGTTGCAACTGTTTTTTTTCTCTTTTTGCAAAAGAGAATTTATCAAAGAGAATAAGGCGGGTTTTGCCTATTTTTTTCCTCCTTGAGGTTATCTGTTGGTCTAATGACACAACCTGATTTTTAATAATGAAGTTAAATGGTGAAATCATGTGTTTTAAAGCCACTTTGCTGGTTGGCTGCCTTCATCCTTCTTGCTAATAAAACTAAAGCTTATAGAATTTTTAAAATAAGTGGAGTTCTTTTGATTTTATCAAACAAAAATATTTAATCCTTGTATTCACTTAATGTCAAAAAATGTTTTAAGAATGTGTGGTATAAATATGGGATGGGGAATCTAGCAGTATACTAATTCTATTATCCTTTTGGGTCTCTTAGACTAGGGAGGAATAAGAGATGATTTCTGTAACTCCTGTATTGTCATCTTGAATTTTTTAGTGAAAGTGTTGGACTGGGGTGAGGATGGTGTAGCCACTGCTGCTGAAACTGCTGCTTTACGGGCATCTTTTAGGCAGGAGGTTGCTGTCTGGCACAAACTTGAGCATCCAAATGTGACAAAAGTAACAATTCATAGTCTTCAATCTCATTTATTTAAATTAATGGCTGCTACTAGATAGTTAGCAGAGTTGAAGAAAGAAGTGGCTGTTATAGATAATATATTGCTGTTAATAATGACATTCATGGAACTCCACCGTTTTCTTCAGCATGCTTTCACAGGGGATATGAATTAGATTAATTGTTCTGCACAGAAATTTTGTTTTGATGAATTAACTTTTTCAGATTAGTAAATGTCTTGTACTCATTTCTGCAACAGTTTATTGGAGCTTCAATGGGTGTTTCAAGTCTTAAGATTCCCTCGAAAAACTCTTCGAGTGGGACTGAAGAGACCCTTCCTTCTAGAGCATGTTGTGTTCTTGTTGAGTTTCTCTCTGGTGGGACACTAAAGCAATACTTGATCAGAAATAGGCGGAAGAAACTTGCTTATAAGATTGTGATTCAGCTGGCTTTGGACCTCTCTAGGGGGTACGTCCAATATTTTTCATTTGTACTCTTACAAGATTCTAATATATCTTTTGCCAGTATAAATTGTTTGTTTTTCCCAATATGCAGTCTTAGTTATCTGCATTCGAAGAAGATTGTTCATCGCGATGTGAAATCAGAGAATATGTTACTAGATGCCAACCGGAATCTAAAAATAGCTGATTTTGGAGTTGCTCGGGTTGAAGCTATGAATCCAAGTGACATGACGGGTGAAACTGGAACCCTTGGATACATGGCCCCTGAGGTTGGTGTTTTCATGGGATTGATTCAACGATATATTAAATGATTTCAAATACATATGCAAGATGCAAATAACAAGTTACTTGCAAGGTGTTGTTTCTATTACTATTTGTATGCATACATTCAAACCTTAATCTTGGCATTACATCTGTAGGTTCTGGATGGGAAGCCTTACAACAGGAGGTGTGATGTCTATAGCTTTGGCATTTGCTTGTGGGAAATTTATTGCTGTGATATGCCTTATCCAGATCTAAGCTTTGCTGATGTATCATCTGCAGTTGTTCGCCAGGTAAGTTCATGTGACGAATTATTTGTGGAAACATTACACCGTGGCATGTTTTCCTAACTTTTAAAGTGCCTAAGATACATGCATGGATTTCAATTTCATAATTTTTGTATTGTTGCACAGAATTTGCGACCAGAAATTCCGAGGTGCTGTCCAAGCGCCTTGGCAAATATCATGCGCAAATGTTGGGATGCAAATCCAAACAAGCGTCCAGAAATGGAGGAGGTGGTGAGAATGCTGGAGGCACTTGATACAAGCAAAGGTGGTGGAATGATACCTGAAGATCAGGCTTCGGGTTGCTTTTGTTTTGCACCAACCCGTGGTCCCTAATTCTTGATCTTCATGTTCTGTGTTGAAGAGATGAGATGAAGAAGCACTGCAACTGGCAATTGATATTTTATGGTTTTGCCAGTTTACAGCTGAACATCCTTTTCTGATGGCGAGGATGGTTGTGAAAAGAAAGGAAGGGAATTGCATTTTTTTTTTAAATTTTTGGCTAAAGGAGCTAATCTTTTGCTTCTTACATAAGATATTGTATTTAGTACTGAGAACTGGTTCCATTTGTGCATGAAAATGGGTTATAATGTCTAATCAAAATTTCCCCTTCTACTACTTGTGCCTGGCTACCAAGAGTAACGTTATTCTGTATACCTAGTTTATACAAGATGTGTGTCTGCTTTTGTGAGAAATTCAATCTGACAAGTTCTGTTTTTTGTGAAGGACTCGGTGAATTCTGATTGGGAAAAGTCTCGAGATTTTGTAGACAAAATGATTATGTGAAACGTGTATAAGTTATTCAATCATATAAAATTCGGTGGAAAAAATGGTTGGGATTTTCTGATTTTATAAATATATAAGTAAAATTGATGGTGTTAAATTAATTGTGCATATTTTTATGTGCTTTATATGCTCTACATACATATAGGGGTTAGTCATAACCCTGCGTGCCCTACTCTTTTGACATGAGGAACAAATGGGAGTCGGAATTCAGCACAATAGGTTCCAGAAATTGTGCTACCAGTATTAATCATTTGAATGATAAATTATAATGAGTGTTTGATTGTGCTCAAATGCATATTTTGTGTTGAAAGTATGTGTCCTTATTACTAAAATGGAATATGATATATTATATTCTCTCTCTAAATTAAGACTATAAGTTAAGAGATGTAATTTTTTTGATATCTTAAAAATTAAAAAATATTTATGTTTTTTTCAAATAAATCACTAATTTCATTATGTAAGACAACATAAAATACTCTCTCATTCTATATAACACTGTATAATTTACCTAAATTAATTATCCTAATTTACATTTATATGTCACATCATTTTGCTATAATATTTATAAACAAATTAAGTCCATAACATTTATAAATCATATTTATTGATTAAATTTTTATCAATTAACTAGATACATAGGATTTTTATCAATTAAATATTTTTTCCCTTATATTGTTAGATTCATAAAAACATGGTATCATGGGCCCATATTTGTCCTTTTTTTTTTTAACAAAAAAGTTTTTTAACATGTTGTACATAATAAAAATTAATATTTAATTAAAAATGATATGATATCAAAAAAAATATTATGTTAATAATATTAAATATTATGTTTTTTAAAATAAAAATTTACAATTTATTAATTTGTTAGATGTGTTATCCTTATTTTATACTGGATTGGAGTTGGAACTGGAGAAGACATACACATTCGGTGATGCTGCTAACTGATTCGTTTTGCTTTTGAATTGCACTTCCAACACACCCAAATACCGTCACGGCCATGGCTGCGACCCTTCATCCATCTTCTATTCTTTCACTCGCCCCAATCCAAAAGGAACCCATTACCACAAGCTCATCTTCAAAGTTACTTGTTAACTGCAAATCCATGAAGGAGCTGAAGCAGACACTGTGACATGATGAAGAAAGGCCTGTCACAAAACTCGTGGTGTTGACCTTAACAAGCTTATAGCTGCTTGTGTCCAGATAGGTACCCATGAGAGCCTCGACTATGCTCGCAATGCTATAGAGGAGAACGAGGGAACCGTGGCTTCATTGTTCATGTATAATTGTCTGATTAGAGGTTATGCATCAGCTGGGTTAGGTGACCAAGCAATCTTGCTTTACGTTCAGATGATGGTGATGGGCGGCATTGTGCCTGACAAGTTCACGTTCCCTTTTTTGGTGAGTGCATGCTCCAAGATTTTGGCGTTTTCTGAGGGTGTTCAAGTTCATGGGGCGGTTGTTAAGATGGGTTTGGAGGAAAATATCTTTGTTCGGAATTCTTTGATACATTTCTATGCTGAATGTGGCAGGGTTGATTTGGGGAAAAAGGTGTTTGACAGAATGCTTGAGAGAAATGTTGTGTCTTGGACCAGTTTAATCAATGGTTATGCTGGGAGGGACTTGGCAAAGGAGGCTGTTTCTCTGTTCTTTGAGATGGTTGAGGATGGTGTGGAACCCAATCCGTTGACCATGGTTTGTGTTATATCTGCTTGTGCCAAGTTGAAGGATTTTGAATTGGGTAAAAACGTGTGTGCTTATGTAAGCAAGTTGGGTGTGAAACTCAATACACTCATGGCGAATGCACTGGTTGATATGCACATGAAATGTGGGGATATATGTGCTGCCAGGAGAATTTTTGATGAATGTACTGATAAGAATTTGGTTATGTACAATACTATCATGTCAAATTATGTACACCATGGGCAGGCCAGTGAGGTGCTACTAATATTGGATGAGATGCTGCAAAAGGGACCACGACCAGATAAGGTTACCATGCTATCTACTATTGCAGCCTGTGCTCAGTTAGGTGATCTTTCTGTTGGGAAGTCAGCCCATGCTTATGTCTTGCGGAATGGACTTCAAGGTTGGGATAACATTTCCAATGTCATCATTGACATTTAAATGAAATGCGGCAGAAGAGAAGCAGCATGCAAAGTTTTTGAGCATATGTTAAACAAGACGGTGGTGACTTGGAATTCGTTAATTGCAGGTTTGGCTAGAGATGGTGATGTGGAATTAGCTTGGAGAATCTTTGATGAGATGCTGGAGAGGGATCTTGTATCTTGGAACACTCTGATTGGTGCAATGGTTCGAGCGAGCATGTTTGAGGAAGCCATTGAGCTATTCAGGTAGATGCAAAACCAGGGGATTGAAGGAGATGGAGTGACAATGGTGGGGATTGCTTCTGCCTGTGGATATTTAGGGGCTCTTGATCTTGCTAAGTGGGTCTATATTTACACTGAGAAAAATGACATTCACATTGACCTGCAGCTTGGCACAGCTTTGGTTGATATGTTTTCTAGGTGTGGTGATGCCCCAAGTGCTACGCATGTTTTCAAAAAAATGGAAAAACGGGATGTGTCTGCCTGGACTGCTGCCATCGGAGTTATGGCAATGGAGGGAAATACCAAAGGTGCTATTGATCTTTGAAAAGAGATGCTCCAGCAAAAGGTGAAACCAGATGATGTTGTTTTTGTGGCACTATTGACAGCATGTAGCCATGGAGGCTCTGTGGACCAAGGGAGGCAACTTTTTTGGTCAATGGAAGAAAACCATGGAATAAGTCCTCGGATTGTCCACCATGGATGTATGGTTGATTTGCTTGGTCGAGCTGGGTTGTTGGAAGAAGCTCTTGATCTCATACAAAGCATGCCAATGGAACCTAATGATGTTATGTGGGGATCTCTGCTAGCAGCTTGTCGCAAACACAAAAATGTTGAATTGGCACATTATGCAGCTGAAAAGATAACACAACTAGGTCCTGAAAGAGTTGGGATTCATGTTCTGTTATCCAATATATGCATCAGCTGAAAAATGGACTGATGTAGCAAGACTGCAAGAGTGAGGATGCAGATGAAGGAGAAAGGGGTCCAGAAAGTGCCTGGATCAAGCTCAATAGAGGTTCACGGATTGATTCACGAGTTCACCTCAGGTGACGAATCACACGCAGAGAACACGCAGATTGGATTAATGCTACATGAAATAAACTGCAGGCTAAGCAAGGCAGGGTATGTTCCTGATACAACCAATGTGTTACTTGATGTTGATGAGCAGGGAAAGGAGCAGTTGCTCAGCAGGCACAGTGAGAAACTAGCTGTGGCTTATGGACTAATTTCTACCGGTCTAGGTACACCCTTACGTGTAGTCAAAAACCTTCGGATGTGTTCTGATTGTCATTCATTTGCAAAATTCATGTTAGAACTATACAATAGGGAAATTACAGTTAGAGATAATAACAGGTATCATTTTTTCAAGGAAGGACTCTGTTCTTGTAGAGATTATTGGTAATAGATTTACTAAGAGCAACTTCTCACCTTTGGTTTACAAAACAACTTCACCATTGGCAATCTAAGTCAAACATTTACTAATGAGCTCCTATTTTTCATAAATGGAAGATATTATAAAAGCAGGCAGAAACCAAAGGACTTACTTTTTGTTTTACATTGTGCAAGAAGGAAATATGATTTTGTTCAACTCCATTGTAAAATAATGTGTAAAATGTTGAACAATACAAAGGGGGAAGAAAACTGAACAATAAATAACAGATGTCCCAGAAGCGTTGGCAGAAAGCAAAGGCCACCACGTTAGGGAATACAAATTCTCGTTGACAAGATGTATTTTACATTGAACATCATGCGCATGCAGATTTGAAATTTTGAAACAAGAATAAGTTTAGTATCATATATGGTTTTAATTTCCTCAATGCAAAAGCAACATTTTGCTACTTTTCTATTAAATAAAATTTGATTAACAGGTGTTAACAAAAATGCCCGTTTAATTTATCTTTTCTAGTAATTATACATCTAAACATAATTTGATTGACACTATCCAAACAACATTCCAAACTCACTTGTGCCTGCAAGAAGTGTGGATTTCCTTTGTTCGATAGGTTTGGGGTGACTGAAAAATCTTTCAATCCAGGATTTTGACCATGATGGGAATATCACGTATCTCAGCAAGCTGGGAGACAAATACTGAGACGCAGCCATGTACAAAATGAAAAATAGTCAAAACCAGAAAAGTAAGGAGGACAGGATCAAGGAAGTGGTTCCATTTTGCTTATTCCTAAAGGAAAACATCTCTGAAACAAGTTGCAAGATACAGTCAAAGCCTCTAAACTAAATGGCTTCATGATGTGTGCTCAAAAGTAGGGAATATGTAATCAACAAAACTATTGAACATTGGATCCACCTTCCACAGCTCAGCAACATGAAAATACGAGGAGGTTTGTCGATGGATTTCTTCAATGAGCCAGATGGTGGCTTCAGCTTTGCAGGGATGAATTATGTCGTCCAAGGGCTTATATTCATCGTCACTGCCAATCCTCAACTGATCCCACTGCTTAAGGAGAACATTTGTGAGGTAATGAAGAGGCTGCCCATATAACTGCTTAATGGATCTGCCTAATCCCATCCATGAGGTAAATGGAATCACAGAGCCTCTGTGGCTTGGAACTGGAATCTGCTTCATGAAATCCTGATACATTTGTGCGCGTCTGATGAGTATATCTGCATACAATCATAAAAATGCCAAGCAGCCTAAGATTAACAGGTAAATTAAGAAAGATACACACAGGTTCTCCACAGTATTGATAAGAAGTTTGTCAAAATGGTAACACCAATGAGTTACGTTAAGAGCTAAGAATCTTGAAAGAGAATGACACAAAGGTATGCCATTTTCAAAATTGATAAGAAAAAAAGAAAAATCTTCCATCTGTGTTCTCTTAGCAGTTACACTTGAAAGCAATTGTCAAAATAAAGATTTTGAACAATGTGAAAAAAATACAAAATAAAAATAAAAATAAAAAAAACAAAAACAATTCTTGTGGTAGGTTAAATACATGTTACTGACATTGCCGCAAGATTAAAACTTTATAAAGCAAAGTTAACATCTCACTAATAATTAACATAAAAAAAGAAAATGATAAATAAGATGCTTCAAAAGTAAAAACGATCCATTTATATCGTATCAATCAAAATATTATTAACAGGTAACTAATTGAAGTGAAGTGATAGCATTAACATCTTAATTGAAGGGATGTATCGTGTTTACCTTGGTGGTTGATGAGTATGGGGGGATCAGAATGAAGGGAATTTGGGGAAGAAGAGACATTAATTTGATTATCACATGACATATCCATCTCAGAAGAGTGAACGAATGAATGAAACAAAAACCCTAATTGAAACGGTTGAACAAAGTCTCAGATTGCATCGAAGTGCACACTGCAAACCCTCAGCAAGCTATGCTCTCAGTTCCCCCCAATTTGCTTTTCTCTTACTTCAAACGTCTCGTTCGGTCACTGCTTATTAATATACATATGACTTTGTGGTATCCTCTTGATAACCATTTTTTTTTTTTTTTATAAAATGTGTATGTGTATTTATCATTTTCAAAATATGCATTCAGTGAAAAAAATATTAACATTAATATTACTAAAAATGATAAAATTTTGCTTAAATAAAATTTTGTTAATTATTATCTTTATTAAAAATAATTTTTTTATTTTATTTTATGTTTATAAAAAAAACATCAATATCAACTTTTTAGAGTTAAATTTAACTATCTAATAATAATAAAATTTTACTAAAAAATATTTATTATACTTTTTATATACTTAAACCTAAACTTAATCTCAATATTTAAAATTAATAATGTTTTTATACTAATATTTTAAAGTACAGGTTAATAAATTAAAAAATATTAAAATTAGGATAAAAATGTATTAATAATAGTTTCAATATTTTTTAATTAGTGTTATAAGAACATAGGTTAACATTTTTTAATGCATTTATTACATAATAATCAATTTTTTTATTTTATTAAAGACTAATAATAAATAAAACTTTTATAAGTATTACCGCCATTTTAAAACTACATTTGATTAGACTTTTTTCAAGTTAAGATTGATAATAAAAATGTTTATTTTTAAAAATTATATATTTAATATTTTTTTTCAAAAATTATATAGTATATTTTAATTTAATAATATGTTCAATAAATTCTGCTCATCAGTCACCACTGATCATTGGGGTTAGACATCATTATCGGAACAAACTTGGTCTTATGTTTTGAGTGCAAAGTAAACCTTCCGACTCACATTGAAACCTCTCTTCTCCATATTCAGAGTACCCCCAAAAAATGCTCTCTAGGGTCCGATTCCTCAACCTCTTCGTTCACCGTGTTTCCCCAACAATCACCACCGTCAATGGCTCGTATCGCTCCCTTTACAGCAACCCTTTCTGCACCATTGTTAAGTCGCAAGAGTCACCGGAACTCCCACCTTGGGTCAATTTCTCCGACAAGCCACCCCCTCGAAAGGCAAACTCAGATGATGACTTCGTTATTCCTTCACTTGCCTATTGGGTCGACACCCACATGCTCAGTGCCAAGCCCATAGTTGTGAAACAAACTTTCAAGGAAAACAAGGTCGAAGATGTCGAATCAATAACCGTGGTTCTAAAGAAACGGTTCTCTTCTCCTGAGTTAGTTGCTCCAGCACTTGATGGACTCGGTTTTAAGGTTTCAAATAGTTTGGTGAAACAGGTTCTGAAGAGATTCAGCAACGACTGGGTCCCAGCTTTCGGATTTTTCAAATGGGCCAAAGCTCAAACAGGTTACCAGCATTCTCCTGAACTGTACAACTTGATGGTTGACATCTTGGGGAAGTCCAATAATTTTGATCTTATGTGGGAATTGGTGGAGGAAATGGCACAGCTTGAAGGCTATGTGACATTGTACACTATGGCTAACGTAATGAGGAGGCTTGCTAAGGCTTGCAAGCATCAAGAAGCCATTGAAGCATTTCACAGAATGGGGGAGTTTGGTGTCAAGAAGGACACTGAAGCGTTGAATGTGCTGATGGATGCATTGGTGAAAGGAAATAGTGTTGAGCGTGCCCACGGTGTTTTTTTGGAATTCAAGAGTGGGGTTCCTTTGAATTCTCATTCTTTCAATGTTTTGATGCATGGGTGGTGCAAAGCTAGAAACTTTGACAAGGCCCAGAAAGCAATGGAGGAGATGAAGGAACATGGGTTTGTCCCTGATGTTTTCTCATATACGTGTTTCATTGAAGCATATTGCCGTGAGAAGGATTTCCGCAAGGTGGATCAAGTTTTAGAGGAGATGAGGGGAAATGGGTGCACCCCTAATGCTGTGACTTATACCATTGTGATGCTTGCTTTGGGGAAGGCAGGCCAACTGACTAAAGCTTTGCAGGTTTATGATAAAATGAAGAGTGATGGCTGTGTTCCCGACACTGCATTTTATAACTCATTGATATTCATTCTTGGCAGTGCCGGCAGGTTAAGGGATGCTTGCGAAGTGTTTGAGGATATGCCCAAGCAAGGGGTGGTGCGTGATGTGTTGACATACTCTACTATGATTAATATTGCTTGTGAATACTCACGAGAAGAGACTGCTTTTAGGTTGCTTAAGGAAATGGAAGATGGATCATGCAAGCCTAATGTTGAGACGTATCATCCGTTGCTCAAGATGTGCTGCAAGAAGAAGAGAATGAAGTTGATCAAGTTTTTGTTGGATCACATGCTCAAAAATGATGTCAGCCTTGATTTGGGAACTTATACTCTCTTGGTACATCGTACGTGTAAAAGTGGAAAACTTGAGCATGCTTGCTTATTCTTTGAGGAAATGGTCTGGCGGGGATTTACTCCCAAGCCCAACACCCTCCCGCTATTGGTTCGAATGCTCCAGTCCAAGAGGATGTTTAAGGAGCAAGAACATGTTCAGAAATTAATGGAACGCGTCTCCGAGTCACCAAATATTTAGTGGTTTTGGCATGGATTTACTTCCTGAAGTCAGCAAAATGCTTTTGCTTAATTCTTCATTTCATAAAATAGAAACTACCTTAGTTTTTTGTGTGTCAGTGGTTTTTTTCTAAATAGCGTGGAATCTGCACTAATATCCGTTTTATTTGCTCAATCACAGCCTAGAGTGTGCTTGCTTTTTCAAGGTGATTCATGCATGCGTATCTTCATACTCAATAGACGTGATTACCGATTAAGAGAAGACGGGTGGGTAGTTCTTATTTTCACTATCAAATGTGAAAATCGTAATCAGAAACGTTAACAAAACACTTTGTAACACATTTTCACAACACTTTACTTTCCAATAACATTTACGTTTCTGTTATTTGAATTCAACGCACTCAGTTCCACCTCCTTCACTAGACACATTTTAAAATTTGTTATACACCGTACTTAAATTGTCGCAACCAGAAAGTCATGTAAACAACTATGACTTCCAGGGTTAGTATTAAACAGTTCTTGTCTTCAGATATTGGGGTTAATAGACAATCCAGACCTCTCAAATAACGATGCTCTTGGCTGATCGTATAATAGGAGACCACCTCGCAGTAGAAAGACTTTAGTAAAGATTGACAAGCATTTTTGTTCAATTCCAGTACAGCTTGAAAATGAGCCCAAACAAACAAGTTTTAAAAAATGTAATCGATGATATTTGTTTTCATCATTTAGGTGAATCATTATAGAATGAGTATAAACATGTCCTGATAAAAAAAATGACAACCAACAAGAGGTAGAAAAGGGTAAAAAAGAACCTACAAATGTACATCATATTTGATCTTGATTGTGAAACTTATACAATGCACAACATTCTGTAAGTGTGGGAAGGGATAGTGGTGCTGGAACGGGAAGGGAACAACTTAAAGCTATTGCCTTATGTGTTGGGATAATAGAGAACTCGACATTTTACGCGAAGGCAACCTTCTAGCCATTGGCTTCTGCCACCCGAGTCTTTCTAGGAATTCCTCAATCAACCTATAAATTCAAATTGATAAATATGTACTACAGGGATAAAAGCAGTAAACCAAATAAAAACTAATTAACACGCACATGCTGCAAATGGCCTTTTGGGAAGAAGCCAGTTCACGGTCTGGGAAAGATTCTTCCAACCGAAAGCTCAACCAAACATAGAGATCCAAGACCTGCAGTTTTAGCACCAATTAAAACTTGTGAATAAATAGAAAGTTAATTACTTCAAAATCAGTTAAAAACTGGACTTGTTATAACAATTTTCCAACAAACTGAACGAAGGAAAAATATTGCCAACTCTTTACAGTGCTCATGATTTTTAAAATGACGATTTACGTCATGACATTGCAAATGACCATGACCATTGATTGAACCCTCACAATTAGGTTGTAAAGCAACAACTGAGGGTTGCACTTGCACCAAGGCTCACCCTCTCACTGGACCATTCAAGTGAACTGAAAAATAAATACAACAAAAATAACCTTGTGGATGGATTCGAGCTCCTTAAGAGCATCTGGTGTCCTAGGCACTTTAAGTGACCCTGGTGTGAACATTTCTCGAAGCCGGACAAGGCCTTTCTTTGCGTAATTCTCTGCAAACTGGTTCATCATAAGTTGCATCATTTTTACGACCATTCAAACTAACATTAAGCTATATCATACTAACGATATGATAGTTACCTGTGTCAGGCCTTGAGATGAAATCTCATCATCCATGTCAGCTGGACTGGATATTCAAAGTATTGGTTAGAAAATAACTGAAAAGGTTAACGGATATAAAAAACAGATACTATAATTTGTTTGTTCCACTAGGTTTTAAATTCATAGAATTGTCCTACAAACTTGGATATTGCATTCTGAAATTTCGTTATTTTCTGAAAAGATAAGAATATACCTGATAACAAAAAGGTATTTCTCATGCAATCCAAGGGGAAGCTCATCAATAACAGAAGCCACTTTCTATCGCCAGCATGTATAAACACAACCCACCAAACAAAAGGGAACCCAGTAGATAATATCAAATAAAGAAGGAATTTGATAACTGACATTACAAATGAATAACGAGATAGCATTGATAAGAAATATCCATGATTCAATGGCAAGGAAGCTATTAAAGACATACCAATAATTGATCACAATTAACAATGAAATAGTTTTCAGATAATTTTGCATTGTCAAGAAAATGTTCCTGCAATATAAAAAAAAAGATATATAATTATGTCGTTTTGGGAAGTAATAAGATAATGCATTTCAATGTTAAGAAACTTAAAGATCTCCAACTTTGATGATTTGACACATGAAGTTGAGTGGAATTTGATGCTGGCCCACTGGGTAAGTAATTTTCTTTGCACTTGTAATGGACAACAATAAACAACAACACTGTTTATAGAGTACTACAGATGACATAATGGAAGAGAGAGCAGGGCAGCAACAGGGAGATAACTTACTAGTATTTGATAGAAACCATTTTTTGGGTGTAATCGTGAATACATATACATCAGATCAAAGGTAGGAAGCAACCCAGCACGCTGCATAAGGTAAATCATCAACAATAAATTTGAAATAAAGTAAGCAAAGTCAAATAAAAAGTGCATATTTACTAGAAGAAGCTTTTAATGTTCAGTTTTGCCTAGGTTATACTGAGAATAGAGGAGTAGTTAGCCATCAGGTTACCTCTAAAGTGGGTGATGGAGAATTCAATGATGAATGGAGCAAGGGTAGATCCTCTGCATCCATGCATGTTACTTCTCCTACGGGAAAATTTGACCCATATCTGCCGGCTCTCCCTGCAAGCATACATGCATTCAATGCAACCAAGAATAACATACAAACTTAAACCAGAAGTTTAAATTCTAATTTACAACGTAGCACATATTTTTCCATGAAACATCTTTTGATGGTCCTACAAAGAATCTTGACAGTTCTGAACTGTATCATAGAAGCAAATAAATCAAAATATCAACTTATTTAAAGCACAATTTTGAACTCAGATAAGTACCTATCTTGAAGTATCCAGCAACACTCAGCATTCAACAAAGATAAGGTATAAATAATAAGGATGCTTTGATGTCTACTTATCCAAGCTATACAAGTTAATTTCAATTTCAATACATAGGTACAGCTGCATACTTCATGATAAAAGATAGGAATAGAAAAATTATGCAGTGCTAATCCTTAAATGTTACTCAGCTTGAAAATTGACATAACATTTGTAGAATCTCCAAAATAATTGAGTTACATGCTCACTTAGTCAAGATAATATATCTTTTAATTGACAAAAAGAATTCAAAACAACATAACATATCATCATGTCATTATATATCAGCCACAATCCTTTAATCAGAATCAGAAACAAGACCAATCTACTCGTATGAAAATCATGCTACCTGCAATCTGTTTGATCTCAGGTACAGTCAGCTCCCGCATCTCAAAACCATCAAACTTCTTCAAGGTTGAAAATATGATCCTAGAGATGTTTAGATTGAGACCCATTCCAATGGCATCACTGGCCACAAGAACATCAAACTCACTACTTGCATCATTGAACATGCTTGCCTGCAGTCCTAATGAAACTCTAAAATCAGCAAATCCTTGGCATAGATTAGGGACAATACAATGGAAAAATGAAATATTTATCAACATATACCAATAAATATAGAAGTGAACAGAGATAAACCTATAAACTGAAAACAAAAGAGAAGGGATTTACAAAAACAATCACAAATAACACTGAAACCACATAAACTGGTTATGGTCAGCATCAACATTTTTGTCAATCACACAAAAATCACAAAGGAACAAAACATATGGCATGATTATTGTGTGGGACGTAAATGTTAACTATTAAAGAATTACATTACCATGAAACAAGTGTAATTCAAAAGGAAAACCTAAAACTACATAGAGAGAGGTAGGAGCTCATACCTGCCTTGTTCGAGTCTCTGGTGGCAGTGAACCATAAACTACTGAACAAAGATGCCTTCCTTCTTTTTGAACTCTCTTCTGAGCAATAGGAATATTAACTTTTATAAGTTAGTTTGCAGTGGAGAAACTAACTTGCAAAACATGCAATTGAATCTGTTTTCTGATATGATTGAATCGTATACCCTAGTAAATCACACACTTTCAACTATAACTAAACCATAGTTGAACCATAGTTGAATTAGAAATGCTTGAACTAAAAACTTAGCCCATTCATGGTTTAACTAAATCAACCTGCTGTCGTCATATACAGTTCCAGAGTTAGCTTCACTATGCAAATCACATCTTCTGCTTAGGGGCCATTATATACAAGTGTTGGAGTTAGAGACCTAGAGTATGTTTGTTTCTTTTTTTAAAAAGGGTTTTCTGTTTTTAAAAGTAAAATATAGTACAAATTTACATTATATTTTATTTTTAAAAACAGAAAACTCTTTTTAAAAAAGAAAACAAACATACTCCTAGACTCTGCTAGTAAAATCTCATTGTTAAGGTTTAGTTATCTTATAATTCTCTTCTCAACCTAAAGGTCCTGTCTCATCTTACTGAAATCAGTTGCAACCTTTGTTAAATTGTAAACTTTTGATATACCACTTCACCAATATTCAAAATAAATTCCTAAAAAAGTCAGATCACCTCATTTTCCAGAGCTACTTAACATGACAAACAGCAAAAGAGGAAATAACAACAGTGAAAATGAATAAACACACATTTAGACGTAAAACAAAATATGAAAGCATGCAAGTTAATTTCAAGAGCAGTTAAATAATGTAAAATCGCACCTTCAACCTGTATATCTCCCGACGTGAAAAGGTTACAAGGCAATCACCATTTCTCACATTAGAGACAGATCCAAGAGGAACCTTCAGTGGGACTAAAGGTGACAATCTTTCATAAAATTGAATCTGCAGCATGTATGAAGAAGAAAATTTAGCCAAAGAGATTCAAACAACACTTCAATAAAAACACCTTGAATAAGCAGAGCCACAGAGGGCCTTGACAACAGTTGTTAGTTAGCACAGTGACAAATCAGGATAATGAAATTACTACAAGAAATTATTGGTCTAATCTATCTGCTCCCTTCCTATGCCCCGCAAGAAGTATGGTTCTTGGTATTGTTCAGAGACTCAATAAAAAACACAAGTTTCAGTACCTCCACTTCATCACCAGTAACTGTCAGTATCTCCCGAATAAGGGGAACAGCAGCTGGATCACCACAAAGGTGAAGTTCATCAGCAGCAATTCCTAGTAAAGCACGAGTAAACGCATATCCCCTTGTAGTACACCCTATCATCTGGATATAGAAAGAAAGATAAAGGTTAGAAGGGAAAATAAGTCACAATAACAAGCATATCATGAAAGGTTATAACAAATAT